TTAATGAAAAGCTTGTCACGAAAAATAATATTTTTCATGACGATGCTTTCTTTTTCATTGCACTGCGTAAAAATATGGTTTTGCCTAATGATACCGTGTATTCATCTTATTTTCTAGATGTTGTTATTCTGGATTAATATTAAATGCATAATGTCACATGAGTATTGTGTGGTCAGCATTGCATGTGTCAAGCAGGTGTATACTTACAATACTATATGAAAAACTTGTAAATACATATCAAAAATTCCTTTATTTTCTTGTTTAGATAAGAGTAATAGTACCTGTAACAACTTTGACTTCTTAACTATACATATAGCAGACCGGTCAGTTTTAATAAGCAATGTTCAATATTGGTTCTAGTATGTTCTACTATGGAAAAGTCTTTTAACGATATGTCAAGTTGATGACTCAGTAATTACCGACAGAAACACCTCAAACCACATAATGATCCAACTCTGCCTCTAAAAATAGGTGTTCCATCCAAACCCTTTATGGAACAACAGCCTCATTAGTTGGCAATATATATTCCACAGATTGTCTAAGGTGGCTTACTAAACATCGTCATCCTTTTCCAGGGGCAGATTGTTGCCAATTTATCTGTCATTTTGTAAAATGTAAGTGCAACATAAGAGTGTGATTAAATATTCTCGGTCCTGCTTTTCTAGAAGTACAGCACCAGTAGGTGTGAGGTGCCACTAATCTCTTTGTATTATGGACACAAATGAAAAACAGTGCTGTACAATAGTTGGTAACATTTACTACTCAAGTTCAAATCATGACAAAATATAGTAACTGCATGAAATACATGAACCCTTATGCATTGACTGATGATGAACAGTTATGGGATCAGTACGTAACTAACACTTAGTTTCTGGTTAATTAATACATTAAGTAAGAGTGTCCTACTACATCATCAGTGCCTCAAGTAAAGTGTTTACTAAAAGTCTTAGATAGTCAAAGAAAATTATATTTAAATGATCTTCATATCTGTGTTAAACTGTCTGTAAATGTGTGTTAGCTTAGCCATTTCAAAACCTCACCCTAGTGTATCTTGTAATCATCCAATATACCCATGTCTTTGTTGACTGGAATGAACATTTTGTGTCTTCATCTTCTTTTAACCTTGACCTATATGGGTTTGTATAGCAATGTTTCCTACATGTTTGTTCCATTATAAAGAGTCAGGATTCAAAAATCTCAACTGTATCCGATCCTTGAAAACACTTGAAAAAAGTGAGTCATTTTCAGAACACTGAATGGAGCCCCTTGTCATGGTGGAAAAAATATTATTTGTGCCCTTGAATTGGTTATTCGTGCTCTCGAGTTAATAAAGTTACTAATTCGTGCTCTCAAGTTACTAATCCATGTTTTCTAGTTACTTAATCTGTGCTCTGGAGTTAGTAATCCGTGCTCTCGAGTTACTAATTCCTCCTCCGCTCTCCGATTGATGATTAATTCAAAAACACAAATTACCAAATCGAGAGCATTAATTACTAATTCAAGAGCACGAATTAGTAACTAGAGAGCATGGATTAGTAACTCAAGACCATAAATTACTAACTTGAGCACATGAATTAGTAACTCGAGAGCATGAATTACAGATTCGAGAGCACAGATTACTACGATACAATATTTTTTTCTACCATAATACCTATGGGGCTCCATACTGAGACAGTACAGGGGAACAATTCTTCACCTTCAACAAACTTTACTCTCATACCACATTGCTGAATTTACTGTACAGCCGTGAGTCCTCACAGTTCACGGATGAAACACTAAACTGAAGCCCACTAAATGTCGGAAAGGTGGTGAATATGATCATGGTGACATTTGGATAGAATAAAAAGGAATGTTGTTATAATAGGATATTTACTTTTACCATGGACTGGCATCCTGTCCAGGGTGTAGGCTGGTCTACAGCCTGTTCTGGCTGGGATGTATGGATGGAGAGTGATAGACGGATTGGTGAATGGATGGGAATATGTACGTTTTTAATGCAGTGTAACACCATAGTTCTATATTGGGCAAATAAAAACAGAACTGGGGAATAGAAAGTGGCCAGACGAAATGCTATTCAGCACAAGATACAGAAATGCTTCAATGCAAGCAGCTCCTGCCTCGTAGTGTCTGCATATTACGTGTCTTTATTATTTCTCTATCATTTCCCATTATACAGATGCATTACTTTTGTTCAGTGTAAGTATATGTATGAGATATTTCATGTAATTAACTGCTGTGTTATGAAAACCTCAATCACATATTAAGAATTTAGCTGATCCAGAATCTGGAGCTCCAAGTTTCATTGAAGAAACACGTCTTGAAAAATGCAGCCTATGAATTAGCGTCATACCGCAAAATTGCCTTTAATAATACTTCCCAACTACAGAGAGGCGCATCTAGCCGTTTTTCCATTGCTCACATGCTTTACCTCCAGCTTACTCACTGAGCTTTTCTCTGCATTCGGTTGTTTACAGCCTTTGCCCCTGTCTTGCTTGACAACCAGTTTATTGCCATAGTTACCAAGTCTGAAATAACCGGTCTTTGTAAAGGTTCCCTCTGAGCATATGGCTTTTGATGATGTCACTAACTGCTATTTGTGTTTCAAAGACAATTTAAGACGGCAGTTTTCTCTCCTCTAACCAGGTAAATATTTTACTGGAAACACACAGATCACACCTTACCATCTTTTTGTCTGTCAATATCTCATCTGTTTGAAGGATTTTTTATTGAATTAAGGCGTAGCAAAACTGTCAGATTGAAGGGTGATTGTATTTAGAAACAGGAATCTATTTCTTTTCAGCTAACAAATAAATGGATATATTGAAATGATCAAAAATGTTCAACAATAAGCAGCCATGAAAAAAATGGTTATGTCATGAGATCACTTTCAAAACTGTTATATACCAAAAACTGTACTAGAAATAGCTTCTTCTCATTAGAAAAAGTACATTTCCTGTACAGTTTTTACCTTATGCTTATACCAGTTACCCTTCTAAACCTATTTATATTATTATTGGCTTTATTCGTAAATACAGAGTCTGGTTTATATATCTATTATTATTTCATTCATTTTACATTATGGTTGGAGCTAGTGATACAATATCAGTTACATAATGATTTTATGACAGGCTGTCGCTGATTTTCAATGTGCTGTTTAATAAAACACCCTTTAATCAGGAAATGTTATGAGTTTTATTGATCTGCACATCCATGGCCTTTCATCCTCTCCTGATTCTAAGTTATCATCAGGATTCAGTGCATTAATGAGATATCGCATTTATGCCAATCCATCGCACAGGCCATATTTTATTGAGTTAAAGCCTTTCCCTGTGATTCTCCTTTCGTCTTCCATGGTCTAGCTCATTACATTTCTGGTGAATCTCTAACTACAATAGAAGGAAATCTAATTGCAACATATTGATGTAAAGGGGCAGTAAAAAGGAGATTTATAGAACAATAACCATTCCAGATTTGGGCTCTAAGACATGTTATGTGCTGACTATGTATCAGAAAGACTTTATCAGACGCCAGGCCTCTCAGATTCAATGCTGTACACTAGAGGTGTGTACTAGTTTTGGCTCTTTGTAAGCCTACTTTTAGCTCCTGGTCTGCTTTTGGGTCCAGCCTCTTAGCAAAACAGACAGTAGTGCACATCGTCATAGTAACAGAATGCCCAAGAATTTAACAAGAACACCCTATTATAGGTGGAGGAGCAGTGTAACTCCTGCAAATGTGTTTGTTACAGTTATTGCTAACGGACAGAAATGAGCAAGATTTCTGACGTAGCAGGGAGATCTTTTGAAATTAACTGCTGCACATGGATGAAATGGTTTCCCTGATGTTCTTTGGCTCCCATCCACTGTTGATTCTCTCATCAGTGATCTCAGTAGGAATTGTGATCCAGGTAACTATGTTGTGAATGCTCATGCATGCAGTATGTGTTTCAGACAGGATCTACTCACAAAGAGATCAGTTACTAAGGTGTTGTACTGCCTCAGTTGACCTTTGCCAGTATAATTATCCTAAACAGGCTAATAAGGTTGTTCTGTATTTTTTTTTCCCGTTTGTCACACTGGCAGGTTCAAGTACTAAATACCAGTTATTACGATAAACCATACCATCAACATAATGTATAACATGCAACTGCACTCCAGAATTTCAACAGCATGGCTAATGAAGCTGGTGCGTTTCTCCTGGTTCTAAAAAGGATGACAGTAATATAGACCTGAGATTTGTCCTCAAGTTTTGCTGTTGACACCAATTCCGTTTTGACCGGATTTCTCACATTCATTTTAAAGCGAGCCACTTGAATGTGGAATGCCTGTTAGCAATCTGGCTCATGTTTCAGTGACCTGTTTCCCCTAAATAACCATAAATCAGATGTCCTGGTTTTACCTATACATATATCTGTAATCACAGATGGACAGTATTGTGTGCATTTATCACAGCGTCAACATTTGTACCTGTTCTGCTTGAAAGAATAAAGTAACATGGAAAATTAATTGCCCTACATGATTTAGCAACTATGAAGATCATACAGACTTGCACAAAAATGGTACCGAGTTGTTTGAGCTTGAAGAATGCCTACGTTACAGGCACAAGTGCCAGATTCTTCTGATCCAAGCATATCTTTGCCAGCTGCAATGTGGGCTCATTTGGCCTCAGTGTGAAAGCTTTATATCCACATCAAGGCTCTAGTTTCTCATTGAATCGGGCTCTTTGTGGAGACCTGTATCAGAAGAGGCCTTCCCCTGGGGCCCTCACAGAGCGTCAGCACAGTGTAGAGAGCCTGTTTGCCGGAACCCATCTGCAGCAGTCACCCACAAGATACTTATTTCTTCATCTCATTAATTTTCAGTTGCCACAAGAAAGCCTTTCTGGTCTTTTACTCTGTTCAGCTCTCGATTAGAGACACCAGTGTATTTAACTGTTAATGAGTCATGTGTATTCAGTGTAAGGATAGAGAGAATCCAAAGGCTTTGCTTCTGTTTGTCCCCCAGGCTCCACGAATGGGCACCCTGATGGGCGTCTACCTGCCTTGCCTGCAGAATATCTTTGGGGTGATCCTGTTCCTGCGAATGACCTGGCTGGTCGGCATTGGAGGGGTGCTGGGGACCTTCGCCATTGTCTTTATGTGCTGCTCCACTGTAAGTATCCCCCCCCCCCCATCATTTACTTCTATTTCGTCCCTGGAAGGGCCTTGTTATTATAAACTTGAGTTAGCTTGCTTTGCTAAAAATGTTAATTCCACAACATGCAAATGAAAGCCACTTTAAAAGGTCGGATATCAGAGTGGATTTGAATACATGTATGTACGTAATTAATTAGCCTGGAATGTTTATAAAACAAATATATTTTGGACATTGCTGTTTCCTAAAAATGAAATATGCACAATTTATTAGTAATACATCCAGTACATGTAATTTATTGTACACAAATTTCTAAACCCTAAAAAAAGACAGACCTGAAGCAGACAGTGACTTCACACAGAACTCAATGCTGTTATACCATTCGCATGCTCGCTCCTTCCCTCCCACAGTAATCCGAGTGGGACGGAAAACAGAAGCACACTACACACGGATGGGGTGACGGATATTTATTTGGAGCCAGTTCAATGAAATGCTGGGGAGGAATTAAAGCAAATCGCAGACATTTTGGCATCAGCACAAGGCACAGTGATACAAAATGGACATCGGATTATGAACAAGGCTACTGCTCAGTGTAGGATCCAGCATCTGGGTCTAGGTCTGTCTTCAAGGCTTGGAATAAAAAGTAGAAACTCACACTCAATGGTTTGCATAAAAAAATAAGTAATAATAAAGGTGCAAGTGTGTGAATTTTCTACTCCCTGTACCCCTACTCACATCTCCCTGTCATTGTGTAATTTTGTGGGCCAAACAAATTTTAATTATAACACGCATGCACTGACAAATTCTACTCAAAAAAAACCCAGCAACATGCAGCCTCTGTAACTGCCAAAATCAAACGATCTTCCATTACATTCCATTACATATGCTATTTACTGCTAAATGAACAGAATGTGTGCCTTATATATATGTATGTATATGTGTAATCCCCCCCCCCACACACACACTCATGTAATACATATAAATACACGCGTATACCGCATTACACGCCAAGACACACCACAATTAAGGCAGCCATATCTTTCTTACCCTTAGCCCCGGACCAGCGAGAATCCAAAAAGTGTTCAAATTCCCAAAACGGATATATCAGACATGCCACCCCTACATCTCTCCCCTTAGCTGGGACAATGTCTGCGTCCAGATCGATGAACAGCCTGGGGACACTTCTTCCAGTATAGAAAGTGTTCCCGGCTTGGGAGACCAAAAGAGACTTCTATAAATGAGTTAAAAATAAACTTACAGTATGAAATGTCTTTGGAATAACAAAGAATCCAGCAGGATTTACTTCTAAGGAGTTTTATAATATACAAGAATAAAGGGTAGCATGAGAAAAGATTTCAGCCGGGAGGCTTCACCGTAGCTCAGGCTCGCAGGGAGGACATCATCTCTCTCTCAAAGCTGAGCAGGATCTCAAATGACCCTTGGTGGTAGGAACTCATCACATTTGTATGTCGCAGCCTCACCCTGAGACGTGCAGGAACCCATGGTTTGCCCTTTTCTACACACTCAATCAGTCAAGCTCGCTCAAGGACGTATATGACTATGCAAATTCTTGATCTTAAAATTAAGATGGTACCTTACGCTATCGGACTTTTGCTATTTATCCTAAGGGCTAGTTTAGCTTAATGTAACTTTGGCTCTGGAGCTGTAGAGTGAGTGTGTGAATTTCACTCTTGGCGCGTTGCGGCGGGCACCAGACGGAGCCCGTAATTGGTGGCCTCAGGCTGCATGGACGTGAATGGAAACTGACCGTTTCAAAAGCCGATTAGCTGGTGAACGTGTTGCAGGCAAGGATCTGCTGCAGAACCCATCCAGCTTCAATAGGACCCACTGAAAAAATGCTACTGTATCTGTCCCCCCCCTACGCGGTGAGGCCAGTCGCTTCATCACAGTGAGCTACGGAGCATGGTATCGGCTGACAACAGACAAATCCGTGAGAGGCCTGCTTTGTCCTGCCATTCTGAGCGTCTGCACACCTAGGGTGCAGTCAGATATTGTGTTTTCAGCTGTCTCTAACATCAAGAACTGCATAAACAAGTTCTCCAGAGACAGTATAGGGGCCTAAAAGATGGCAGAATGTCTTGTTTTATACTATTCTGTCCTCAGCCACTCTCTTGTTAATCGTCTGCAGCTTAGACTTCATTAGCATTCCCACCGCAGCCTCTGGACTGACCGGAGCTTCTACTGAGAGACACTTTACTGTAGACCTTGTGAAATGCAAAGGACTTCCTGACTAAATTAGAGGTCTGCGATCCGACTGAAGCCCCATGGGGTTTCGGGTGTGGAGCCAGGTATAGGTCAGTTTTTTTATACATTACTTTTTTTTTTGTGCAAATCGCTTTTGCCGTTTGCTGGGTCCATTGCTCGTTTGCTCTTCCCATTACCACCCCAACACCCACTCCCTCTTCTCTCTCATCTACCAGCTACCTAGCAAGAATCTGACTACTAATGGAAGAAATATGGCAAAATCTCATAAATGTCTCAACATATGCCTATGACTAATCTTTTCATAATTTCGGGTTCGGGTCAAGTTCGGGTTTTAGATTTGCTAGTACTATTTGGGCTCAGGTCAGGTTCAGTCTCGAGGCGTCGGGTACTGGCCATGCTCACTTTAATTCCAGGTCCATGCAAGACTAAACTGAATCGTGTGACCATGTAATGGAATGGAGTATACATGTTAGCTAATGGCTTGACATGTTAGCCATTTAACAAGACTGGGTCTCTTCATCAAATATTTACTGCAGTAACCTTGTTTGATTAGGTTGTGGCAAAGCCGTTTCGTTAAAAATTAATGCTGTATTGACATCTGAAGCTCCCACCAAATAAAAGCAGTGAAATCAAACCAGTTGTCCTACATGCTGTACATGATTTATGATTGGTCGATTGTCGATTTGTAAAACACAACATTAAACTGAGATTGTCTTGTTTTACAGGGACTTACTGCTGCCTTATACCTGCAGGGTTGGAGGCTCAAATATCACCTTTGTTCTCTGTGTGTAGAATCTGCATGTTCTCCATGATTTTCCTGGGTCTTCCCACATTCCAGACATACAGTAGCATTGTCTTTCCATTGCCTATATGTGCATGTGCCCTGTGAAGGACTGGAATCCCATCTAAGGTGTACCCCAGGCTTGTGCAATGTGTGCCCTGGGAGAAGGTCTAGGGCGCCCTGCCATCCTGATGCACCAGGACAATGAATGGTTGGTTTATGGTGGTTAGTTGTTTGCCGTGTTATTCGCTACACCTAGCTAATAGCGGACAGAACCCACTTTAACCTCCAGAACTGCTTCAATGGTAAATGAGTCACATCACTGTTGTACTGAGCTGCTATTTTTGAACTGGTAGCCTTCCAGTTAGCTTTAACGAGTCTGGCCATTCCTCTCTGACCTCTCTCATTAACAAGGTGTTTTTACCCACAGAAATGCCAAGAATTGGGAATTTTTTTGGTCATCACACAAGTTTTCTTAAGCTCCAGATTCTGTATTGTGTGAGAATTGCAGCCAGTGATTGTTTCTGAGATGCCGGAACCACATCAGGCAGCAACAATCAAAAGACATTTGAAATCACTCCAATCACCTGTCTTAGTTGTTGTAAGATGAACAGTTGAATAATAAGTGACCCTTCTGACCCCATCTGCATGCTGTATAAACTCAGCAGCAACCAAACCACCAGCTCAGATCAGCTAATCCTTCTGAAGCTAAGTTGCCAGTACTTGGATGGAAGCTGATGCTAGAAGAGGTGTTGGTGTGGCCAACTGGTTAGGCCATACTGTGGTCTGTGCGGATCCCAATGCCCCAGTGCAGTGACGGGGACACTGTGCTGTGAAAATGCTGCTGTCCTTTGGATGAGGCTTAGAACCATGGTCCAGACTCTCTCAGATCATATGGGATCCCTGGGCATCCTTCGAAAGAGTAGGGGTGGTACCTTGATGTCCTGGGTAAAACTGCTTGCTGTGGCCCTTTCAAATCTGGCCTCCTAATCATCCAGTGAATTAATTTTCTCCTGTCCCTTCACCACCCTAGCTACTGACTGGTGAGTGTACTGGTACAGCATGGTTGCCATTGCATCATCCAGGTGGGGGCTACACAGTGGTGGTGGTTGAAGTGGCTCCCAATTGGTTCTGTAAAGTGCTTTGGGAGTCTTGAAAAGTGTTATATAAATGTAACATTCATTCATATGAGAAAATAATGGAATGGCACAGCTGGCCAGCTTGTCTCAGGTGTAAAAGGGCGACTGCATTTCCTACTGGGTCTGAGAACAGCTGGGCCCTTCTCATGCTTTTGGCCTGGGACCACAATTAATACCCTGTCATTACATTATGTCACTGCCCTCTGCTTCTGGTGGTTAGTGATCCATTACACTTAAATAATTGTTTAGGGGGTCTGAAAATTATCAGAGACAAAACAAACACATACAATCTTCCCCCCACTTATTAAGCACTGGGACACAGGGAGTCTGTCCAGATAGCATCGGGCACACGGCTGGGGACATCCTGGACGAAATGCCAGCCCTTGGCAGAGCAAAAGCGCAGCTTATATAGTGTGAGGAAACGATAAAATAGAGGGAACATGAAAAATCTACCAACATACACAGCAGCAATGGGAGCTAAACCCCCAAATCCTGAAAATAAAGAATACATTTCAACAGAACTAAATACAAGCAATTGAAAAATAAATGAAGGAATACAAGTTTCACGAATTCACGTATATTACCTCCGTAGCCATATTACTTTCAGTACCCCCCCCCCCCATACACCATAATGTTTTGTGTTTGTACCCGGCCACATGGTGGCTGCGGCCCACTAACTCCTGACTCTGGCTATCAATGCTAGCAAAATCACATTTAGAAGCCCTTTTTGTCGCATTCCACGTTGTGTAGTAGCACTAAAACATGGAATTTACAATGAATAGGCTGTTCATGGTTAATGTTACATGTTGCTAACTTTATCCAGTATTTTACCCTAATCTGTTAACGTTCCCTAAATCTACTAAATATAGCGGGAATAATCCTCAAAAAATTTCATTCTGAGGTGTATATAATATACAACTAATTTTTAAACTTCCATTGAGATGCTCCACGATCCGTCATAGACATGATTCTCTTTCTGTAGAGCTGTGGCCCAGACTACCTTAAATATGACAAATTATCAACCAATCACATCTTGTGTTTACATAATGTCAGCCAACAGCGTGCCAGGCTGCTCCCCGGGTGCTGAATTAGCTGCCCCCTGCTATGTCACATTGTCACATATGGGTTAAATGCAGAGGACACATTTCGTTGTTATGCACTGTGTGCTGTGGTGTGTCAACAATGACCATTGATCACTAAATTCTAAATTCAAATGTTTTTGATAGTTAAACTATATTTACTTTAGCTGCAAAAAAACAGTTAGCGGAACTAAATTTAGCGTTTTCAAAGTTACTGGAAACACTAATCTGCTAATGAAAAACTTATCTTTGCTAATTAGCAGTTAGCGGAATAGCAGAACTCTGCCCACCACTGACGGCCCAGAAACAGATCAAAATTCTAAGTTGACAAACCGAATTGTTATCGCACTATTGTGTATTCGAAATATCACTTTGAATCACCATAAAGCGAGGAGTGTCTGCATGGCAGTTTTTAAAAAAAATATATTTTCATAAATAATTACGTAGTAAAAGAACTTTCGTAAGTAAAACCTCATTTTCTCCTTTCAACTCTCATCTTTATTCAGTTGCAATTTTTACTGTGAGGAAATGAAAATTATCTGCAGAAGTAGCAGCTTGATAAAACTCAGAAGGTATATTTTGAAAAGCCATGCTGCCAGACACCTGCGGTTCTATTCAATGCCAAACAAAAACACTTCATTATAGAGCCTAGGTGCATTGATGTAGCTCTGCAGTCTGATTTGTCTTCACACAATATTATGTGTATATTTTTGTTTTCTGAAAAGTCTATTTTAAAAATCATAAACCCAGGGTTTGACATTTAGTGAGCTTTCATGGTACAGTTTGTGCTTTCTTATTTTGCTTAATGTTTACCACTGAATAGCTTTAATTTACATTTTTTTTGCTTAATTTGGTAGTTCTCTTGGTTGTTGCCCATTATTATTATGAGATATATACTATTAAAGTAATAACAGTCGACAGTCACAAGACTGTAGATACAACCTGATCATTAGAATCAATATGTCATTTTAAAAGATGTTTTTAAGTTTTGCAGACAACGTTTTTTTTATTATTTTTAGTTTTCACAGATAAACTTCTAGGAGGTTAGACTGAAAGAGACAACTTTCAGATCAGTTAAAGTAAGCCACTGGGAATATTGTATTTTAAGTCTTCCTTTAAATTCTGTTTTCTCTGCTGGATCACTGTCGATTTCCTTCTTCTTCAATTTCAGTCCCCATCAGATAAAAAGAAGTAAAACAATTACCGTCTTATCTCACCTCTTCAGAGGGCTGGACTCACTTCATTATTACCCGATTAGAGTAATTCAGCAGCAGCCCAATGACAGTTTAGGACACACAAATCTATCTAGAAGACAAGCTAATCATATTAGTGCCCAGCTTCCTATATCTAAACAAAGAGAGTAAATAACTCCTAGAACAAGGGAAGGCAGTTCAGTGCAACATAGGAAAGTATGATTTCACTGTCCTTCTTCTTTTCTTCTCTTCAGACATTCTTCTCATTTTTTGTCTTCCACAAACTTTACTGGGCTCCCAGTCTTCAGGAAGTGTAGACCTTTGTGTCTTCAGCTCAACCACATGTTATCGCTGATATTTCACTTATAGTTTTTACCACTGGTTTTAATATTTATTTACCAATCAGTTTTGCTCTCATTGTGTTTGTTTTCCCCATGGCCAACGTGATACACAAAAAATAGCTATAATAGTAACATGGTGTGCATTTTTGTGACCTTTCTGTAGTGCCTCCTCCGTCTGAATAGATACACCTTGGAAAGCTGATGAGATTATAAGAAAAATCATTCTATTGAACCTTTTGCAAGAAATATGAAATCCACAATAGTACGTTTACAGCTAGACTGATAGGGAAATGAAATGGGTATGTTTGTAACACACTCAAACATTGACATTTTACTTATCTTAACTCTCCAGAGCTATAATTCTCTAAATATTTGGTTCCAGTGACAACAAAATGACAGAGCATGTATCTGTTGACTCTGCCTGCTTGGACACAGTGAAGATAACCAGAATGAAAATCATGCCTCTGACTGGCTTCTCTCTCTGTCTCTTTCAGACCATGCTAACCGCAATTTCTATGAGTGCCATCGCCACCAATGGAGTTGTGCCTGGTGAGTAAGCTTCTCATGGAATGTGTGTGTTTGAGTGTTTGCAGGGCTTTTTAAATTCTTTTTTTATACTAAGGACAAAGCACACTGACAGTCTGCAGAATACGCAGGGCCAGCGTCAGGCCTAAGCAGTGGGAAACTGTAATTGCATCCAAGCCCATCCTGGAACCCAACACCTACTAGGAGCTCCTGCTCTCTGGCCTCCAGTGCCCAGAAGTAATGGAGGCTCTAGTTTTCATTCGTTTGCCAGATAAATGCACTTCTATACTTTTCAAATAGATCTTCTGTTGTACCATATGGAAGGACCAACAACTATTTTAGCATTCTAGTATTGTGTTCATGCTATGTGTGCTGGTTTGGATATATGTTCACGTACTGAGTGTAAATTTAGTGAGGTAATGGAATGCGTGTCAAGACAGTATTACTCTCCTTTTTTATTTCTAAATATGGCACATTATAGAGAGATGTTCAGAGAGTGAGCAGGAGGACCTCAAAACTCCACCATCATTCATTTGCATTCATTGAACATATAATCAACGATACAAGATAGCAGTAATGAAATGAGCACGGCCTTGGGAGTTTTTGCACCGGAGTTGTACTGAAGTGTGCAGGTTATTGTGAAGCCTGTCCATCTGGCTCCACATATCCCAGCCTTCCATCTTCCCAATTAAACCTCTAGGGGTCATAGTTTGCTATTAATGGCATAATCCTCTAGCACTAAGTTGACTGTGGAGTGCCATTAAAAACGCTGGTTGTTAATGGGCACGTCTGTGCAGCTAATTAGCACTTAGATTAGCAGATAAACAGATTTTGTTGTGTTTGTTGAAGGGTGAAGAGAGAAACTGAGAGTTGCAAACAGTTTTTAAGTTTAAACAGTAGGAAGGTGACATGTCAGACTGAGAGAGCAAGAAGACAACATAACTCCAGATTTCAGTTCAATTTTAGTGTAGCTGATTATGTAAAGGTAAAAGATTCTGCTGGTTCTAACAGGAAGCAGAGACCCAGCAATCTGACTGATACTAACATTCAAAAACAGTGTCAAGCATGCATGAAATACAAAATGTTCACCCCATGTGACCACCCTGAAGTTTTTGATACGCTGAGGGACATTTACCAGCAGGGTTGACTGGAATGTAACTTTTGTGTCCTGTGTTTAATAGCTGGTGGCTCCTACTACATGATCTCTCGATCCCTGGGACCAGAGTTTGGGGGAGCGGTTGGCATCTGCTTTTACCTGGGAACCACTTTTGCAGGCGCCATGTATATTCTTGGGTGCATCGAGATACTATTGGTGAGGAGGCATTGTGTTATTATGCACGCATGAAGAAGAACATTTCCCAGTGGACAATGTGAGGGGTCTGGGCAACAAGGGGTTGACAAACATCTTGAATGCGCACAGTTAGTTTAACAGCAGATTGGTAATGAAACATTAACTACTGCTTAGTTAGCCTTTATTAAGAACAAATGTAACAGTGCACAACTGACTTTCATGGATCAGGGGTCAAGTCATTGATCTGGACTAATGCAGAACATTATAACAGATTTAGTATCAAAAATTTATCTGTACATTTTTCTAAAAAGCTGCAGCAAAACCCTGTTCATCACTAGGTTCATTTCAATAAGTGTTTTTAATTTGGAGACCTTTCATTTAGGCTGCTACCATTTAGGGGTTTGATCTGCTTGTGGGTGTTTGCAGATTGTATAACTTGCTTATCACCCACACGAAGGCTCTTCAAATCTGGACCTTGATTCCAAATCCAGGCTTTGTTTTCAGTTCTCCCAGGTAGTTAGTTTAATAACTGCTGATACTGAATGGCTACATAGATTTCACACCTGTTTCACAGGTAAAGGAAGGCTGGAAAATCAGCAGTGCTCAGACCTGGAGAACCGTGACTTGAATAGCCCTGATCTAAACATTCCAGATCAGTCAGAGTCTTTGCCAGTAGGTCACTTTATAGTAAATCTTGAGTGGTCTTCAGAATGTGAGAAGCATCAAAAACAGCAAGATAAATTTGGAGGGGCGAGTTTTTTAATTAATCTGAAGAATAATTTGATTGATTTGACTTGAACTAAATGTATAACTTAATTTATCTAAATTAATAGGCAAATTATATTCATAGACTTTATTGAACTCATCATTATATAAAATTTAGACAGAATTTAGATAATAGATTTAGGAATATGTCCTTCAACCACAGTTTCTTAGGTAGAAATACAGGTAGAAATACAGTGGTACCTTGGTTCTCGAACTCACTAGAACTCAAATTTCTTGAAAGTTGAACAAACCAGTTTGATCTAGAACTCGATCTGAATATCAGAAGTCAAACTGTGAAAGCTGACCTAATATAAAATGTACACGCCAGGAAATGAGTCATACTACAATGCAATTGTTACTTGAATGGAGCGGACGATCGGGGCAGGACAGGGGTAATGTTGGGATAAGATTTTATCGTTTTGGAAGCCATTAAGAAAAAAATGCTCTTCTTGATTTATCCTGTTCATTTTGTGTTTAAATGCTAAAAAGAAAAAAGAAAAAACATAATTTTGGGGGGCCAGGAACCAATTCATTGGTTTTCCATTATTTCTTATGGGAAAAATTCGATCAGAACTCGAACTTTTTAGGATTCGATCCGGAGTCCGGAACGGATTAAGTTCGAGAACCGAGATACCACTGTATACATATTTATTAGGTAACACTGACTTGAAGTTTAGACACATCCTTGTTTTTAGTCCATTTGATGTTGGGTTTGCTGGCACGTCTGTGAGGCCACAAGAAGCCGGGGGGAGACCAAGACAGCTTCTAAATGGCCTGTTTCTTAAATCTGGACATATCACATTCTCACTGAGGAGGAACTGGGTCTAAGACCCTGACACATAGGCGGAAAGCAGAGGAAATGATAGACTTTTAATGTAAATTCCTTTCAATCATGGCCGCAGCTTTGAATGCATACTGTAACTGATTCCCGATGTCTCTTTTGGGCAGATATACATCGCTCCCCAAGCAGCCATCTTCAAGTTGGAGGGTCTCGAAGGTCCAGAGGCGGAGGCAGCGTTGCTGAACAACATGCGGGTATACGGCACGTGTGTGCTTAGCTTTATGGCCCTGGTGGTCTTTGTCGGTGTCAAGTATGTGAACAAACTGGCCCTCGTCTTTCTGGCCTGCGTCATCCTCTCCATCCTAGCCGTCTACGCTGGGGTCATCAAGACAGCCATAGAGCCGCCTGACTTTCCGTGAGTGACCGTTCCTGAAGTAACCATGGGGGGAGAAAGTACAAAAGATGAATTTATCCACATGTTAAGTTTTTTAAAAATGTATCGTTACATCTTGTTCGATTATTTAGCGGATGCTTTTATCCGAAGTGACGTTCAATGCAGAAATCAAGGCCAGCCAGTCTTTCAAGGGCTCAACCGTAATATCACTCTGCCAGTCAGGAGATTTGAGCCAGGAATCTTCTGATCATAGACATATAGGCAAAGCCACACCACACCAGATTATTATTATTATTAGTAGTAGTAGTATTATTATTAGATTTAATGTTCTTTCAATGTTGGTATAGTAATAAAAAACCTGGATTTACCAATGGTTTATTGGTTTGCTAACAAACTATGGAAATTTGCTCCAGTAACTATGAACAAAGTAGCTAATTAATTCATCTGCAATGTTTGAGGCTAATTTTGAAAGCCACTGAAAGAAAAAAAACACATGGAATGTCTCTGCTTCAAAGTTACCCGCTAAAGGTGTCTCTCTCATCTTAACCCCTCAATACAGGATCTGTATCCTAGGAAATCGTACCCTGGTCTGGAAAGGCTTTGACGTGTGTGCCAAGGTTATTGAGAAGGAGAATGGCACTGTCACCACCAAGCTCTGGAGGCTGTTCTGTGACTCTGAGTTCCTCAATGCTACATGTGATGAATACTTTTTGAACAACAATATCTCTGAGGTCCAGGGTATTCCTGGCATCACAAGTGGAATCCTTCGGGGTGAGGAACCTTCATTACCCCAGCAGCTGCGTATGAACTTGCAATATTTATTCTTTAATCATGACAAAAATATTTTCTTAATTTAGAGAACTTGTTTGGGAACTACTATGAAAAGGGAATGGTAATCGAAAAGCAGGGAATTCCATCGACTGCAGACCCCGATGCTCCCACAACCAATATGAATCGATATGTCCTCGCTGACATCACCAGTTTTTTCACACTTCTTGTTGGCATCTACTTCCCCTCAGTCACTGGTAAGTAGAAGGCAGTTATTTTAACATTAACTTTCCTTACTGTGGTCACTAACAACCCGAGTTTGATAGTTCAGGTCCAGAAAGTAAAAATCTAGACCAAAATTTTGTTTCAACCGACCAGCTGTGCATGAAGAGTCAAAGCCACAGAGTACTCAACTGGTTGGTTGAACCAAAATCTTGGTCTGGATTTTTGCTTTCTGTACCTGAACTATCCACCACTGCTAATAACCCACTGCGGTGGCATGGATTGTCTTGGGCCCGCCCATTCAGCATTCACAGCCAGCGATAAAACATGATAAAACAATTGTGTCTGACAGGTATGTGTGGCGCGTGGTTGGATCAATCAGGGGAAAAGTGCTGTTGAGAGGCAGATAGATTTTTCTTTTTCTTTGGTCTTTGTAGCACCACGGGTCATTTAAAAACTGATAAAAAAAATATATGCAGATGAGTCTATAGTTCAGGGCTCTTCAAATCTGGACCTCGATTCCAAATCCAGGTCTTGTTTTCAGTTCTCCCAGGTAGTTACTGATTCTGATTGGCCAGAGGCTTCACACCCGGCTCACAGGTAAAGGAAGGCTGGAAAATCAGCAGGGCTCGGCCCTTGAGGACCATGATTTGAATAGCCCTGCTATAGTTGTTACGATGTGACGATCCACTTGCGGCTCCACTTGCAGGGTTTTATTTAAGGCAAGTACAGAACACTAGGAATCTCACAAAATAAAAGACCACACGGGGTCAGAAAAGTATAATAGAACTTAATACTAAAACAAGCTACTAAAACCATAAGGTAAACACAACCAGGGAGCAGGGTAACACAGAGAGCAGAACCAGGAATAGGATACAAGGAGGACAACACATGACAACATTATATCATGACATTACAACGGCAGAATAAAGCACAGAGTGAGGGAAGGCACTTAAATACACAGACATCCAGGGAAAACAAGGAAGAGGTGTAACCTAATCAATGAACCAATCAAGAGAGACACAGGAGCAACGAGAAACAGGTGGACACAATGGGCCTCATTCACCAACCGTTCTTACGAACAAATTTGTTCTTAAACCCCACATACGCACTTTTTTTACGAAGATTCTGACATTGACCAATGTTTTCTTTTCTGAATTTGTTCTTAGCTAAGAACAGAATCTACGCACACTCAAGACCATTCGTACACGCATTTGAGTAATGATATTTTGTTCAAAATAATCGGTTATAGCAGTTTTGTTCATTCTACAGTTGATAAAATGATAGTATTTGAATAATTTATAAAAATAAAATATAAAAAATTATCTTAAAGTGTACAAATTATTTTCATGGTAGTAACGGCAATCATGCGGATTTTAAATAGGTCTGTTTCTGTGCATTGGCCTTGCTATCAAAATGGCCTTTCTGTTACTTCTTGAAGAGCTTGCCAATCGTGCTCTGAGAAGGGGACACATGTTATTTAGATTTATTTGGCACACAGCGTTCACAGAGAAGGTGATATCTCTCCATGTATCAGCTTTCTTGGAGGCTTTATATCCACTGGTTACGCTACTAAATAACATGTGTCTATTTGCATTTACCTCAGTTACACTACAATCCAGTTATAACGGACTTCCAGGAACCTGGCAAAACAGTCCATTATATCCAAAGTCCATTATATCCAGAGTTGCTGTATGCCCAGAACACAACTACAGGACACCATTTACTCATGCCACACCCCAGCAGACACACTTGTGGTATAGATTATTATATTGTACATGTAGTAATCCAACTTTACCTGAGCAGATGCGTGACTATTAATAATCCCGACTCCGTATCTGCGCTGGATATCACCGGCACGCCACACGCCTTGTAGGCGGAGCCTGTATGTCCGTTATAGCCAAACAGTATTACAGCTAAAAGCGGCCCTGGGGACCAAATTGTTTGTCTGTTATAAGCGAAATTCCGTTATATGCCAGTCCGCTATATCCGATGCTTTTTCTGCATGTTCTTAAAGGCGCACGGCCGGGACCAGCGGACCTAGTCCGTTATAGATGATATTCCGTTATAAGCGAGTCCACTGTAATGGGATTTTACTGTATTAATACTTCTACTTCAGCATTACTTAAGTGTTTTTTCCTCTTAGTGCCAAGTGGCTTACAGCCTGCGCGTCTCTTCGCCATTCCTTGCACACGGCCCTACAGTCTCATGTCCTTGTATGGGAAATTGCAGGGCGTTTCCCTATGCTAATTAGGACAAACTGGCACGCGCCTTCGGTTACGAAGACGTGGGATTCATCATTCTTAAGAACAAAGGTGCGAACAGTTCTGCTACTTAAGAACACGTCATGAATCCGACGTAGGTTGTTCTTAACAAATTTCGTAGGAACATATTTAAGAGAATTCTTAAGAAAATATTGGTGAATGAGGCCCAATAACTCTAAAAACACACAGAACTAAGAGAATTAACAAACACTAAAGACTAAGAATCTACAGGAAGGACTAGGGGACACACCAGTAGAAATCTAGAAAGAAAAATACATAAAAATAATCACGATAAACCTGGGGAAACTCTAGAATACGAAAGCACAAAACAAACACTAGAGAACAAAAACCCAGAAAGCAAAAAAGTGAGACTGGTTTCAAGCCAGCCCTGAACCCACGGAAACGGAACCTACGTAGCTGTCAAGGGAACAGGGAAAATACACTAGGGACTGAAGGGCAAGAAACAGGGACAGGATGGCCAGCAACACCTGCTGGCCAAACGGGAAGGGGACACGGAGGGCAGGGTTGGACGGGCACTGACCCTGATGGTAGTGTGATTTTGTCACCTAATGAATTGTTATGGGATTAGCCCGCTTGATTTTCTGCCGGCCCACCCACGCTATGATTTCTGGCCCCGCTATTGCTAGTAACACTTCAAAGACTTGTTTTCAAGTTCAGACAAAGTAATTGTCTTTAAATGGGTTTTGTCCATGATTCTAGTGTTAGCATGTCCATGTTTTTAGACAGTATGATAGAGTGATTAAGAATTTATTTTGGGAAGGAAAGAGAAATAGAATTATAATGGATACAATGCTACATGCAAGATTCTTCATGATATGAGGTACCTCAAAAATCTGTTTGGTCTGATAACCAATGTTAATCAGAGTTATGCTTAGGCTGGCTTAAATTTGTATATACAGTGGTACCTCGGTTCTCGAACTTAATCCGTTCCGGACTCTGGATCGAATTCTAAAAAGTTCGAGTTCTGATCGAATTTTTCTCATAAGAAATAATGGAAAACCAATGAATTGGTTCCCGGCCCCCCAAAATTACACCTAAATATGTTTATTTTTATCTTTTTTTAGCATTTAAACACAAAATGAACAGGATAAAACAAGAAGAGCATTTTTTTCTTAATGGCTTCCAAAACGATAAAGATCTTATCCCAACATTACCCCTGTCCTGCCCCGATCATCCGCTCCTTCCGTGTGCCACGCCCCCTCGTTAACCTCGTGTGGGATCCCCATGTGATCAGCTGATTCTGGTTGTTCTCATTAGTCCTCTGTATTAAGTCCGCGTTTCAGTTTGTTTCCCCAGTCCGGTCACTGGGTGCGTTCGACTTGCTGGCTTAAATCAACGCATTCTGATCCTGACGCAATGCATTACGGTTAGATGCATTGCGACCTCTCACCCGGCTGCACAAACTGGAACCACCTCCGTGACGACACACCTTTGCCCTTATTGGTTGAAGAGTTTAGTTACATGCATGACATTTGTATCTCAGGCATTTCCAATGTGTAATCTGCAGTGTGTGGCTCAGTGGGCTAAGCCGTGTGCCTGTAATCACAAGGTCGCTGGTTCAAGCCCAGCCTCAGCACGTCTGTAGGTCCTTGAGCAAGACTCTCAACCCCCAACTCCCTGGGCACCGCTACAGGTGGCTGCCCTTCACAGACAGCTTACTCTACAAAGAGCAAGTTGAGGGAGGCATAAAAAGAATTTCCCCATGGGGATTAATGAAAGTGTCAATTATTATTATTTCTCCCGAATATCACGTAAAGCAGTGAGAACTGGTTTTCAGTTAATTTTCCTGGTAAAATAAAGTTTAAATAAATTACATAAATGCTCTAATAGTACACGTAAGTTAGTGGTTTATTTATTGTTAGTTAATGTAATGTTGCGCTGCTTTATTTGGTTAATCGTCCAGTCTGTGAAGAAGGCATTCAAGTAAGAATTGTATTGTAGTATGACTCATTTCCTGGCACGTACAATTTATATTAGGTCAATGTTCACGGTTCGACTTCTGATATTCATATCGAGTTCTAGGTCAAACTTCTTTGTTCCACTTTCAAGAAATTCGAGTCCTATGAGTTTGAGAACCGAGGTACCACTGTATTTGTTTCCCAATGTATTTCCACAAACACCATAGTTATCTATCTGCTCCCATTGCTTTTAATTTTTCACTCTTTGCACAACAAAGAAACTTTAAGTCATTACAAACCAGCAGAATATTTCATGAAAGCTTTTCAACTAGGTGATAAAACATGGGAATTATTGGTTGTTATATATTAGATCATACATGTTGAGCAATTCAGTGTGTTGTATGAGCATTACATATATATTTTGCATTTCAATTGATTAGTTCTCAGTTCTAGTGGTTAGTGGCAGTTAATTGTGGCTCATTCTGGATGTGTGAGGTTTGGAGATTTAAGAGGTCTTTAAAAGTTGTGTTTTTAGTGATTGTTGGAGGTCTTACAGATTTTTTCTAATGGAGAGGGCCAACAAAAGGCATTGTTCTGGCATATATAGCTTACACTGTATAAATCAGTGTTTCTGAACCCAGCCCACATTTTTTTCCTCCTTCCCAGCTCCTAAAAATGTGGATTTTCTGGGGGTCTCTGAGACCCAGGTTGAGAAGCACTGATATAGATTATATAGTGATTATTAAAGCTTTTTCAAGTGTGTGTTGAGTAGATTTGCAGCTCCGTAAACTCATATATAGAGTATTAACATATAGATTATATAGAGAGGTTATTGACGCTTTTATTCGCTTCTTCTTACTCATCGCTGTGATAGCATATGCTTGACAGACTCTCAAAACTTAGCTCCCAAACATTGGCAGTCACTGAAGTGTTTTCCCAGGCTTTGGATAGTGACAGGGACACTGAGGTTTCAGCGCCAGGGGACGTCGACGGTCCCAGTGAATCGATGAATGGCTGAGCCTTCGTCAAACAAAGGGACGGCACAGCTATACCCCAAGAGAAGGGATGTATGTCAACAGAAAAGTGTTTTGAGAGACTTGAACATAAAATAATAATATTTTGAGTCACAGCAAAGCAAAAGCTTCACTATTTCACAGCTTTTAGGTAAAAAAAAAAAGAGTTTGGGATGGAAAAAAACATGATACATGAAGTTTTAATTGGCCCAAAAAGTTGTTCGTAAACAATACATGATAAATAAACAACAACAATGATCAACAAATCTTATTCTGAAAAGCAATTGACTAAAACATTCAAGTCCAGCTGAAACAGCTATTTATCAACCATGAACTACCTGTCTACAAGGAGAGACATCCTCCTGCTTTGGTCTGTTGATTATGAATGCTGTTAAGGCAAGCTGTCTCCTTTTCTGGACATGCAGATCAATATGTTAAACTTGATTTCAAAAATGTCTTTGTATTGCACCCTAGTCTTGTACACCTGCATCAATTTGGGCCATTGACCCTCTTTGCTAAATGTTTTGCACCATAACTTCTCACTGTTCCATCTGCTTGTGGTCGGGTCCTTCTTCTCATCCTTGCTAAAGCATATTCACCATCGCTGGAATTACTATTGCAGACATTATGTTAGCAGTATCACCTCAGGAAAGAAGCAAAAATTAGTTCAAAGATCAAGTGTGCATAATCAAAGATCATTTTGTACAGATTTCGTACGGGGAAGCAAGATCAAGATCATTTCGTCAACCAAAGGTATTTTCAAATCCAGATTTTGTAGTATATTCTTTCTTGCTCTGGTAAAAAGCTTATTATCTTCAGGTGATTGAATCCAGTTGTTGGTTGAACCAGGTCAACAATAGGAATAGAAGATAACAGGAATTGAAAATAGTCTTTGCTGCGCCGTACATTTTAATTTTTGAATATCCAAGGCATATCATGTACAGAGACACTCCAGTGAAAGTCATTTCCTCTGAAGTGCTGTTAGAGCGGCGCCCCGTCAGCAGTATCTCCCTCTGCTTACTAATATATGTCTTCTCTCTACTGCCTAAAGTAGTTGTAAGGCCTCCAGTCTTTGCGGATAGAGCCTGTATTATTTGGGGATTAGTGCTGAAATGTTAGTGTTATACCCATGGTGGACCATAAGCCGTCTGAGTTCATGCACATTTTGTATTATCTTGATTGTGTTGCCATGGCAACACAGTGGCATCAGTGATCTGAGACATGGCATTTTAAAAAAATTCCTGAATGCCAGTATAATCTGGGGAAACTCCTTTAAATCAGTCATGAACCTTGACACAATGAAAATAAATCCCATTATATTATTCGAAGAAAATACTATCATTCAAATAGAAATCTTTAATAATTATTCCTTTGGATAAAATCTGAAACTTGCTGTTTCTATCAGTAGTACCGAGAATCTGAGATTTAAGATTCATGCAGTTTACTTTTAACCCAAACTGGACAGCAGGGTGTTTCGTCTTGGTCTCTGCTTCTTGCTGATCTTATGCCTCGTCATCTGAAGATCTCGTGATCTTACGCTTATGCCTCGTCATCTGAACTCGCTGCCTCCCCTGCCTCAGCCTGCCCTCCTTTGCCCTCATCATCTGACAGCTCAAGGTCTGACTCTCCCTCAGTGGTTCTATACATAATTGTTTCCTCTGCCATTGACTTTTCTCCTGCAGTATCATGTGAAACAGATGAAACATAGCCAGCATGTCCTGATGTCTGCTATAAAAGACATTGACAAACAAGACCTTAACCAATAAGTTAAAAACACTGCACACTTTTGACAACTGTCTAAACTAAAGTTAAAACATTTTTAAAGAAACAATTTCAATGTGAGTAACACAGGAGAACCATGGAACCACAATCTCTTCAGAAATGTACAGATTTGACTGCTTTGGGGGAGTGGATTAACAGAAGAGAAAGGCTAGTATAATGTTAGGGCTGCAGTTTTCCAGAAGCTCTGTGACAAACCGTAAGAGCTTCTGGTAGATTTTGTGGTCTGATGAATGGAAAGTGAAGCACCGCGTTTGATGTAGCACAAACAGCTTATTAAACTGGTGGTATGACCTGAAAATTACTGTCCATACAAATGTACCACAAAAACTTCAAAGGCCGATCTACAAAGCATTGTCTCAGAGAAGGATGCAATTAGTAAATAATACGTGTGAGTGTGATCATTTTTAAAATGTATCCAAATGAATCAGTTTAGTATTATGAATGTGTTTTATTTATATGATGTTGCTGAACAGGAAAATTAAATGTGAAAAAGAAGATAAATACTTTCTGAAGGCGCTGTATTTTGTACTATATATAATAATAACAAAGCAATACTGAAAACTGAATTAATGTTTAAAAAACATTATGTGGCAAAACAGTCAAATTACAATAAAATACAATTAACAAGAAATACAAAAAAATGAATTAAAAAACAAGAAAATGAGAACAGGCCTTTAGATATCTCATTGTAGACCCTGCGGTGTAAAGATTAATGTCATCAAACATTTAATGGCTCTTTCTGAATTATGCTAGCAAGTTCATAATTAGACTAGTGCCATTAAAGGGCCAAGCTATCTGTGCAAATTGCAGTGTTATTGTGTGCAGTTCCAATAACACATTTAGGGAAGGGGAAAGCTTTTTACAGTCCACACAATAAAAACCAAATTCTAAAGTGCACTTTTTTGTGCACTGGTTTCGAGTACTTTTTTCACGTTTTCCAAAATGTCTTGGCCTAACAATTAACGTTTTCGCAGGCTAATTATTGGATGGTTATTCTGTAATGCACAGGCATGCTACAACAATAAATCACAGAACAATTCTGCCTACTCTGTTTCTGTGAATTTTGTTTTTTTTAAATTTTATTTACACTTTCAAAATGAGTCAAAGGAAATCTTTGCACAGATATAATTCAAAAAACATTTTTAAATAATTATTGTTAAGTTCCAAAGTGACGCTGACAGTCCCTGGAGCAGTTGGGGTTAAAGGCCTTGTTTCAGGGCCCAATAGTGACATCACTCTGCTGACCACAAAATTTGACCCAACGACCTTCTGATCAGAGGCACAGTACCAGTCCACTGACCCATATACTGCCACAGATGAGCAAGGTATTGAAAAACTGATTGTTGCATTTATATGTATTTTGTGTGTGTCTACCACAGGTATCATGGCCGGCTCCAACCGTTCAGGGGATCTGAGGGATGCTCAAAAGTCAATCCCGATTGGCACCATAATGGCCATCACCACAACCTCCACAGTCTGTATCCTTTTACTTTGGAGACAAGACCAAATTGTGGAATGGCACGGTTCATAGAGGTGGGTTAAGATCAAGCCATAACCTCTTTCTGATCAATGACCCATACTGTGCTTAACGTCTCCAGCTTTAGAATAGGCTAATTCTGTACAAGTTAGTACTGTATCAAAGGTAAATGGTCAAGTCATTTCATTCCTCCATGAACTCTGGAGCTGCAGAGCTACCTGGCTGGGGTGGAAGTCAAATATGCATCATCTAACAGTCTACTGTTAGAAAGAATGAGACCCTCTTACATATAGTGAAAGCAGGACAGTATGATTGGTCTCAGAGACAAATACAGTTCTAATCTATGTACTTTGATTAGAATGTTATTCTTTATGTTATGAAAATCTGCTCAACCAAAAGGCAAAGGGCGATCTAGGATGAATCTGCCAGACAGTGACACTCTATCTGTTTGCCTTCACTGTAACACTTAGACATGTCTAGTGTTTTCATGTTTGGGGCCTGCATTGAAGGAGTGGTACTGAGAGACAAGTAAGTTGTGCATCTCTTTTTGCTGTATTACATTTTTTCTGTAACACACTACATCAAGGCAGCAGAATGTTTAGTTTATGGACATTTCAATATTTAAATCAAGATAATACTTGTTGAGTCTGCGATGAGTTGGTGCCCTGTCCTGGGTTGTTCCCTGCCTTGTGCCCGTAGCCCCCAGGTTTGGCTCCGGACCCCCCGCGACCGTGAATAGGATAAGCGGTAATAGAGAAAGAGAATTCTTCAATTCAATTCAATTCAATTCAATTCAAACTACATTATTTGTCCCAAGGGTAAAAATAAAAAAGCATGTGGAGTAGCACACATGTAGCAACCATAAATATATAACAATAAACATAGAATAAAAGGACAAACACATAAAGGCATGAATGCTATGTGTTCTAATAAAGTTCCATTAAAAGTTACATTAGTTTGATGCCGAATCACTAATGTTGAGAGTTGAGGAGCTCGACAGCTTCTCCCAGGAGTAACGTAATGAACTGCGTCCAATATGTACAGATTTTTGGGAAACGTTATAAAATTCTTCGAAAATCTTATTGAAATTTTAAAGCACTTTAAAGCACAGCAAGTCTTTTATTGCTGTGCTTAGACATGAGGAAATACAGGAGAATTTGTCCCTGGGGATATGTGCACAACTGCTTATTACTTTCACAGGTTTGGTGAGGCAGTCAATGGCAATTTGGTGATTGGCACGCTAGCCTGGCCATCCCCCTGGGTCATCGTAATCGGTTCGTTCTTCTCCACCTGTGGAGCCGGGCTGCAGAGCTTGACGGGCGCACCGCGTCTCCTACAGGCTATCGCCCGCGATGGCATCGTGCCCTTCCTCAGGGTGAGTGAATCCGCAGGGCCCCATCACCCAACTCCCAGCCCACACTACAGAGGTTTCAGCTCAGCAGGGTATTAGGAGGTATTATCACAGGAGGCTGCAAAGACCACATTACACCTGATGGATCGCACGCAGTCTAGGGTCATCAGTCACCACCACGCAACACAACTGCCAGCCTGTCCCTTTCCTAGGTGAAAATCAAAAATAATTGCGACTACACATGCTGTCCATCCCCGCTGGCTTGAGGCACTGATTTATGAGCCTGTATCAAAGGGCCAAAGTAACCAACATGTGAGAAATAGACAGAGCGATAGAGGGTGCCACAGCCATCACCCATTCGTATGATTGCTTGCTAACGTCCTGGTTCTGCCGGTAGGTGTTCGGTCATGGCAAGGCCAACGGCGAGCCCACCTGGGCCTTGCTGCTCACTGCTTGCATCTGCGAGAGTGGCATCCTCATCGCCTCCCTCGATGCCGTCGCACCAATCCTCTCCATGTAAGTTTCCTCATGTGAGACCCCTCTGCCGTCAGTGAAACAAATTGTTGTGGCTGCTAGCGGTGCTTGCATCCAAGCAGAGTGCGTCAAGAAAATGATTTTTGACGTACACTGTCAAAACAACGATCGAATAGCAGTACCGTACACCCCAGCAGTTACCCCTTCTATACTGGAACATCATCAGTGAGCAAGATCCATTATTATGGATTGATCTTTTGTTTTTATTTGAATGCATTGTTTTTATGGAGTCTTTGTGTTTAGAATGGCTGCTGGTTCTTCCCACAGGTTCTTTTTGATGTGCTACATGTTCGTCAACCTGGCGTGTGCCTTGCAAACTCTCCTGCGTACCCCAAATTGGAGGCCACGCTTCAAGTTCTATCACTGGTGAGTCCCGTAGCTACTCACGAGTGCCACAGGCCAAAAAAGCCATAAAGGAGTAAATACATAACATAATGTACAACATAAGATGTATAATGTAGCACATCATAATAAAGCATAACGTGAACATCATATAACACACCAAATGTACTGGGGGCAGATTTGCGGCTCAGTGAGCTAAGCCTCTGTGACTGTGATCAGAAGGTCGCTGGTTCCAGCTTGTCCTTGGCACATCTGTGGGTCCTTCAGCAAGGCCCTTAACCCCCAGCTCCCTGCATGCTGCTATGGGTGGCTGCCCTTTGCAGCCAGCTTGCTCTCACCTACAGAGACTATGATGGGGGAGGCATAAAGAGAATTTCCCCACAGGGATCAATAAAGTATTTGTTATTATTAAATAATAAAGCATCTACCATACATATCTATACAAAAAAAGGAAGACAAAGAAACAAGGGTGAAAGCAGTGGGAAAAGTGCAATAAAAAGGTTTAGTGGCGGTCCTCTACATACTGTGCCTATTGTTTCCTGAAGGCCCTGTTTTTGTTCTGATCTGGTGTTGATACACGCCAGGGTCACACATGGTGGAGAATGCAGGCAGGGATGGTGTCGTCCTGCTACAGCATCATTCCACCTAAGACATTTGCTGGAAATACCTATAATTTTATGTCATGTAATTAATTATGAGACAGTTATTTCCTTATGAACTAATGCTTCTTAAAATAATGCAAGGAAACTGTGATAGGAATTGTAATTGGTAGGAAAAACATAGTAACAGAGTCAAATTTAGGGACATTTTAAAGGATAATACTATTTAAGCTCAAAGCAAAGTCTGTTTAAAAAGAAGGTTATTAACAGAACTGGAAAATGCATAGTGTGGTACAAAAGCATGAAACTGAAAGGGTATGGAATGTGAAGAGGCAGCTGTAGAATCAGACATAAGAACTATGCCTAGGTGTGCTGTGAGTCCTGTGCCCAGATACCTGTCCTGAGTGCTGCTTTCACCCTCCAGGACGCTGTCTTTCCTGGGAATGAGCTTATGTCTATCACTTATGTTCATCTGCTCTTGGTACTATGCCATCGTCGCCATGGTGATCGCTGGCTGCATCTACAAGTACATTGAGTTCCGTGGGTAAGTGAATTGCCAACAGCAGAGAAAATAATTTTGTAAACAGGATATGCCCCATGAACTCATATGCTAACCCAATACTCAAATGCTTATTATTATTATTATTTGTTTGTTTGTTTTTTTGTTTGTTTGTCCTCATGACCCTGACTAGGATAAGAAGTTAGAAGATGGATGGGCTATTATTGTTTTGGCAATATTCTGTTGAATATTTAATAAATTCATGTACATTTACACTGGTGTAAAGCAGTGGTCTTCAGTTTTGAACCAGCAACTTTTGATCAGAAGTTCAATTTCTTGAATAAAAAAGTATAAAAAGAGAAAATCTGTTTTTTTTTTTATATGTATCTAATTTGATTATTTATTAGCCTTTTTATTTAAAATGCAGATTTACTGTTAAAATTGAGGAATAGTCCATAATGTTACCCCCCGCGACCCAGTAGGATAAGCAGGTTGGACAATGGATGGATGGATGGAGTCCATAATGTTCCATTATGTCAAGCTCTCTGTCTCATTTTTACTTTCTGGTCTGTTACTGGTTATTTTCGCATTTGTGTTAAAATCCATCAGTCCATTCCCTGTAACCACATGTCCTATTCAGCGTTGCAGTTAAAATTCAATAACGTTATTTTTCTTGTGTTTTCCATATTCCAGTGCGGAGAAGGAGTGGGGTGACGGCATCCGCGGCCTGTCGCTCAGCGCGGCACGTTTTGCACTCATGCGGCTGGAGGAAGGTCCTCCGCACACCAAGAACTGGAGGTGAGAACCAGGCCAGATGTGTCCACCGTCGTCACTCAGCAGCAACACGAGAACAAAACATGGCAGTAATGACACATTCATAAACTGCAAGTAGCAATGAATTTGCATGTTATTAATACAAACTAATTCAAGGGGATATTTAAATTAGGACAGCATGCTGGCAATGAACAGCACTGCTGCCTCACACCTACAAGGGTGGGGGTTGAAATGCACCCCCCATGTATGTGGGATTTGCATGCTTCTCTGACTTCCTCCTGCCAGCCCTGACCAGGATAAGCAGTTATATAAGTTGGGTGGATATTAAAAGGTTTTGTGATCACGTGATTCCTTCCTCTCACTGCTAGGCCGCAGCTGCTGGTGTTGGCCGGCTTAGATGCGGAGCAGGCCGTGGAACAGCCCCGCCTACTGTCGTTAACTAATCAGTTGAAGGCAGGTAAAGGCCTGACCATTGTGGGTGCAGCACTGGAGGGCACCTTCCTCAACAACTACCCCCAGGCCCAGCGTGCGGAGCAGGTCAGACACCTGGACACTCCTATTTGTACTCCGCCTGGATGGGGCGGCTTCCAAAAGTCTGCAGTGCTTTTCCCTGTTTGCTGGGTCATTATAATTTTCTACAACTCCATGTTACATTCAGTCCCTGCGAAAGCTGATGGAGACTGAGAAGGTGAAGGGCTTTAGCCAGGTGGTCATCTCGTCGAACATCCGCGACGCCACGTCCCACCTCATCCAAGCTGGAGGGTTGGGAGGTCTACAGCACAACACTGTGCTGGTGAGCTGGCCACGGAACTGGAAACAGGTTGAGGATCATCAGAATTGGAGGAATTTCATTGGTGGGTGAAAAGCATGTGGGGTGGAGGGGGCGTGGCCCAAGCGACACATGATTCACAAAGCCCATTTTAAACACTGACAGCTTCCTTTGTCTATTGCAGAGCTCGTGAGAGAGACCACGGCTGCCCACCTGGCCCTCCTGGTACCCAAAAACATTGCCGCTTTCCCATCCAATGGAGAGCGCTTCACCGAGGGAAGCATCGACGTCTGGTGGATTGTCCACGACGGAGGCATGCTGATGCTGCTGCCCTTCTTACTGCGCCAGCACAAGGTATCGACGAGGCCGGTCATCCCACCGCCTTTGCCGGGTATTTCTCAGCTTTAGCGATTGACTGTGAATGTGGGCGGCCAGTAGTCAGGGTGTTTGCAGCTGATATGACGAGAATCTTTCTATATGCTAACAGCAGTCTTTGGAGTTTGATTGAAGTAACATACGTATATACATACATACATAGCTGTTTAGTTCCATGCCACTTATCCAGTAGAAGACTACGGTGAGTCTGGAGCCTATTCCAGGAAGCACAGGGCAGGAGACTAAACCTTTCCCATCAATCCCATACTACACATTTTCATGCACAATTGCACACTATGGGAGATTTAGAGCCACCAATTTACCTAATCATTATTATTATGAGGTGCCATTGTGCCTCTCCATAAGGCTTTCTTGGTAAGGTCCTTCAGGGGTTTACCATTGCCTTCTGCACAGTTTGAAATAGTGTCATTGCTGCTGTCTGCACTGTCCTTTAACGCTTCAGGCCAGTATAGGTGGCAGGCTTAGTGATTATTCTGCTGAGACCTGCTTGCCATCCTGACAGTAGTTAAAAACTCAGGATGCAACAGTTCCTAGCTTCCCTGATTCACACCAGACTCTACACCTAAAACGCATCATTTTTTTGGACTGTGGTAAGAAACTGGAGTACATGGAGGTAAACCAGTAAGACATGGGAACATACTCACCCCCCCCCCCAACTCAGACAAAGGCATTGAGGGGGCATTGATATGACAGCGCACCCAGAACTTCACAGGGACCCTTGAATATGAAAAATAGTATATAAAATAGGGTGGGGGCCCAAGGTGACATTTTGTCAGTGGGTCTAACTGCACCCCTGCCCACAGTCCTAGTAATGTAAGGCTGCAGAGCTTCACTGTCTGGTATTTGTCATATATACAGTCATTTACCAAAAAACAGCATTAGGTAATACTTACAAAGCACTATCCATCCATCTTCCGAGCATTTATCCCGGTCAGGGTTATGGGGTCGGGGGCGGCAAGGGGAGGGGGGAGCTGGAGCCTATCCCAGGAGGTGCACCCTGGATGAGAGGGGAGCAAAAAATAAATAATACCAACATCATATTACACAGTGTTCCCAAGCTGAAGAGTTATGGCTTTGCCTGTAAAGCAGTTTAATTTGCCTCTTTCTGGGGGGTCTAAAAATGCATCTGATAAAATTGCGCATAATGCTACAGGGTTGGTAATAATCCATCATTTAAATGGTTGCCTCTAATGTTATGTTGTTCAGGAAATAAAAGATGAAATAAACGAAAGACTGTTCTCTCTTGGTACATTATCATCTCTTAAAAATGCATTTGTACACCTAAATATAACCATTGTGTTTTTCCCTATATACTTACCTTCATACGAGTCTGTAAAAAAATAAAAAAATAAATAAACTAAAATATACATAAATACACTTTGATAATAGATTAAAATGTCTACAGATTCAATTGTCTGAGTTTATCCAGAGAATATGTACATGAATATTCATTCATTATAACAATAATGTGGATAGGTTAGCAAATTTGTACTATTTATGCTATTTGAATGAAGTAAAAGACACATAAAGCTTTAAGAAAAGGATGAGATGGTATTTCAGTAATAATGAAGAGGAATGGTTCCATGACAATGGCATACCTGGAGTGTGGCGGCCCATAATGCACCACTGACATGTGATCGATGTCTGTCCCTCTCTAGGTGTGGAGGAAGTGTAAGATGCGCATCTTCACTGTGGCCCAGATGGATGACAACAGCATCCAGATGAAGAAAGATCTGACCACCTTCCTGTACCACCTGCGTATCGACGCCGAGGTTGAAGTTGTGGAGATGGTGAGGCCATTTTGGAGTTTTTCTCTTCAACTCTTTGACGTTGAAAGAAAAAGCTGAATTTTACAGGGACACCAGTTTCAGGAGGTGTTTCTCAACTTCCTGCTGCCTTTATCTCTTAAACTGCATACTTGTTTTCCGCAGTGCTTTTGGTTGCTGGCTACTGTATGGTGAAACTGTATTTGAGCTTGCTTGTGCTCCATTACGTGTTCCAGGAATTGAAAATTTGCTTATCATTTACACATCTTAAACACCCCGCCGTGGCACTGAAGTCTGACAAGAGACCCAAGTGCCAGACACCTGGATAGCCTTAGGAAGTCATTTAAAGAGCTATTCCTATGATGCTGCAGATTTAGTGATGTCATCTCAGAGTTAAATGAGAATAAAAGCTTTAACTGAATGTGATGTCCACAATGACCACTTAGGGACACTAAAGGGAAATGACCAGTCTTCTGACGATCATTCATTTTTGGCGAAATCGTTATTGTATCCAATTTATTATCTTTTTTGGGAACCCAATAAGGGATTATAAAAGAAATATGATGTATATTTAGGCTTTCAGTATCATCACATAATATGAAATATTGAGTTTATATAATAAGTAAGAAGCGTGAAACCATACAATTACAGGTTACTTATTCACTTCCTCTGTTATACTGTTATTATTCTTGCTTCTGAGTAAGTAAGTAAGTAAAATTTTATTTCTAACGCACATTTCAAGAACACTGCGTGTTCACCAAAGTGCTGTATACTTCAACGCCACATAAGAACAGGTAAGTGAAAAGACAAAGGATACTGAGGCAGTTTCTCCAATGAGATCTTGGGCCTCACTGTGAATACTGATCTTTTGGCTTCAGCTAAGCACTTCCTGTCTAGCCTACTACACTGTTTCCATATTTTCAGCATGACAGCGATATCTCAGCCTACACCTACGAGAAGACCTTAGTGATGGAGCAGCGATCCCAAATCCTCAAGCAGATTAATCTCACCAAGAACGAGCGTGAACGCGAAGTAAGAAAAATATACCAGCCTGTAACTTGTATTTTTACCACCTTCTTGTTGCTTCGGCCTTGTTTGAGGCTTCCGGCTCTCGTCTCTTCATTGCTGCTCACAGATACAGAGCATCACGGACTCCTCCCGGGGTTCCATCCGTCGCAAAAACCCCAGCGCTGTGAGCACGCAGCTGAGCGTGACCGAGGAGCAGCCCAGCAGCAGTGAGCAGGAGAAGCCCGAGGAGGAGGTACAGCTTCCTCACAATGCCAGTGGTGCCTCCTCTGTGTATCGCTGCACCTCTTACGTAACCCGTCTCTCCTCTTCCTCTCCCACTTGCTCAGTTCACCCGTTTTTCAATAATATTCACTCTATGTGCTTCAGTACTTATGTTTTACTATTATGAATTTAAATATCTCATTCACATTTTATTCTTTTGGTTGACCAGTTGTCTAGAGGAATGTACTATACATTGTCAAAAAGGGAAAGATACTAAACATTACACGTATTACTAAGCATTATTCAAAGCAGCATTGATGGTAATCAAGGTAAATAATGGATAACAATAACTATTTAGTGCCTAGGTCACAGTCTTCAGGCCATTAATCAGTCTGTGTGCTTGTTTCATCCAGTGAAACCGTGGTTAGTTTCAGCCTGTAAACACTGTCAAAGGAGGGTCAGAAGGGACCATATGGCATGACATCTCATGAAGTGACAAAGGCGTCCCTCTAACAGCCCCCCCCCAGCCATTGTGATCTGCCTCATGCCGCCCTCTCAGTCTGTTGATGTGCCCTGACCTCAACAGGTGCAGCTCATCCACGACAAGAACACCGCAGCAACCCCAACCAGCCTGCAGTCACCCACCGAGAGCGTCGGGACCCCTGGGGACAAGGTCCACATGACGTGGACGGAGAAGTTCGATGGTGACAAAGGAAAGCCGCCCGGAGCTGGTACCCCAGAGGGCATCAAGGATATATTCAACATGAAGCCGTGAGTCAGGCATTAACTTCTTGTGCTGTTTTGTTCTGGCAACTCTGGCAGTCAGGCCTTAACTTCCTGTCCTACTGTGGTCTGTCTACTCTGGCAGTCAGGCCTTAGCTTCCTGTCCTACTGTGGTCTGTCTACTCTGGCAGTCAGGCCTTAACTTCCTGTCCTACTGTGGTCTGTCTACTCTGGCAGTCAGGCCTTAACTTCCTGTCCTACTGTGGTCTGTCTACTTTGGCAATCAGGTCTTAAGTTTCTTTCCTACTGGTGTCTGTCTACTCTGGCAGTCAGGCCTTAAGTTTGTTTCCTACTGTGGTCTGTCTACTCTGGTGGTTATGCCTTGACTTGCTTTGCTATTGTGGTCTGCACTGGCAGTCATTCCTTAACTTCCTATGCTACTGTGATCTGTGTACTCTAGCAGTCAGACTTCGACATAATTAACAAATAACAACAGTGCCTTCTGTCACTAAGCACAAAGTAAGACAGCATTTTACGAGTATGACTCCAGTGTATTTTGATGTTGTCAAGAGGTTTGAACAATTCATTAACACAATGATTAACACAATGGTGAATGATGGGTTTCACAGACACACTGCTTCAGCACCTCTTGGACCTAGAAACAAAGAGCCTCATGTACTGAAGGTTTGCTTAGAATGACAGCATTACTCCTTTTGAATTTCATTGGTCTATGGGTTGTCAGAATTCTGTATTCTGTATTCATTTTCGTTTGGAAGTTATTCGTGTTCAGGTCAAAGGGTGAGGCATCCCATTGTCTCTATTTTTAACTTGCCTATTTTTAATGGCTAATTGATTGAACTGACCTATACACAACATACTGATTAAGCTGCACAGTTGCATCCTCCCAAGAGGTTGTTGTTTGCTGCTATAATTGTTTTATGATATTTCTGTTGTTTCTTTCTATATTGCTCACCAGCGTTATTCTCCTTAGCATCAAGAGACAGAATCTTGAACTTTGAGGGAGTGGCTGCGTACTTTACCGATAGATTTCTTTATGCAGCCCAATAGACATTAATTATACCCCTAATTAACATATTTAATATCCCCATAAGCAGGGATGCACATAACTGGTACACAAGTACGCATTCACCTTTAAAAGCGATACGTGCGGCAATCGGTTGTCGTAAAAGTGCAAACGTGTGCGTATTTTATGACATGAAATTACGGCAAATGAAGTATGAATTATCATACGTAGGCATTTGTGCTGTTACAACAATCAGTTGCTGCACCCATCACTTTTAAAGATGAATGCGTACTCCCGTATGAGTTATGTGCATCCCAGTGTATAAGATCTCTTTGAATGACCTTATTGAGGTAATAAATATTTTGTGGTTGTGGATATATATATATAGTTAAGTGCCAGTCAAGGGATGAGACACCTTAACAAAGAAAAGGAGACGGCGAAAAACCTCCAACACATGACAAAATAATCAGTAAAACAAAAGCTTTATTACAAATAATACGAATAATGGCTCGTATTACAAAAGACGGAAAAATAAGACAAAATAACAAAAATAACAAGGCACAATGCGAAAGCCATGCCTCTCACAAAAGCAGCAAACGGTCATGACGACAAAACATGACTGGGCGGAGCATCATTAATGGAAGAGAGCAGCCATCTTCTCAAGGGAACAACACCCCTTTATAGAGCCGGGCACCCAATCACTGATGGCAGAAACAGGAACAATTAACCACCGCCTTCACTAGAATGTCCTGCGACACAACAGTCACAGAGCAAAGCACCGCAAATACACTGAGACATAACAATATATATACAGTATATAAATACATTTCTCAACGACTGCAAATTCAATATAAATTTGCAATCTGTTTACATGCTGTTACACTGTCACATCAAAACCACTTCAATTGAATTAATACTGGGGGAAATATGAAATATTTTCCGTGGAGGGTGGCAGGCTATAAAATGCTTGGAGAGTTTAAGTTGGGCATTCATGTTATTGGTGGTGGAGTACCTCACAAGTCAGATACAAAAATACATGTGATATTTCTTTTTTTTAAGTATCTACAGTTTTTTTGTTTTTTATTTGAGGTGAGGCTCATGGCCATACAGTAGCCTATAATATTTCTTTGTCATTTTTGATTTTATAACTCTGAGAAAGTTATTTGTATGTCATAAGCCGAAAGACATTTCAAATCATAGTAAAATGCAGTGTATCGATGTTGCAGTAAGATATCTATTGTAACATTACCGCAGTAGCATTTAATCTGGTCTCATTTGGTTCTTTGGGTGAAGCTAATAGATCAGTGTCACCAGATGAAATGTCTGCACAATTAATGTCAGCCTTGACCACTGACCTTTCTTTGGGGTGGTGACCCCTCTGTGGAACACATGACACGCTGCTGAGTTTGAAAAACCCAGCAATGTTGCCATTCTGTTCACAGCCAATCCAGTCGTTCTGTTTATCCATTCTTATTCACATACAAAATCCATAGCTTTTTAGGGTTTTTCCTCAGCATCATTCATACTAATTGTCCGCTGCCACTGCGATTGCTTTAGTATGGTAACTGATAACTAGTGGTCAACAGGGTTCCGCTAGTCCACTAACCAGTTATTAACAAAGCTAACTTTTTAGTTAGTGGGTTAGCATTTAGCTTCTGCTAAATTCAGTTTTATTAACTGTAAATCTGCTAACATTATTATCAAGTAAAGTAAATAAAGTTTAACAGTAAAAAAAAACATACATACTTGTTCCTATCTGTTGTGAGCGTGTCTGCTAGTCCATCTAGCACCCTTTGGCTGACTACTGGTAAACACAAGTCGTGATTGGTTGATATCTTGTCAGATTTAAGGTAGTCTGGGGGTAAATGTAAGTGAACGAAGATAAATTTAACTTAAACTGGGGTACCCTGAACTAAGCGGAGAACAGGGGCCTGTATCATGAAGCTGGGGGGTGTTCCACGAACCGGAATTTCTTGCTTAGCTGGATAACTTGTCGGATTTAAGGTAGTCTAAGCTATATGTAAGTGGACAAAGGTAAAGCCAGTTTAACCCAGACTACCTTAAACCCAACAAGTTATCCAGCTAAGCAAGAAATCCTGCTTTGTGGAACACCCCCCTGGATTTCTTGCTTAGCCGCATAACATGGCAGATTTAAGCTGCGCTAATTTACATTGACTTTATCTTAATTCTCTTACATTTAACATTTATCCAGCTAAGCAAAAAGTCCTGCTTCATGATACAGGTCCCCCAGTTGTATTTTCCAGGTTCTGACTGACAGGGCTATAGACCAATAAAGAGCTGAGACCCTCCTTCCTAGCTCTTTGTAAATGGTGCCATGTTTGTAGTCCCCAAGCAGCTTCACTGAGGGCAAAATGTCAGCATGGGCCAGTTGCAAAATAGGGCTTCTCTGACAAAAATGCTTGTATCTCGGAACGGAATATCATAGAAAAAAATTCAGTGCATATTTATTCTGTAGCAGACACTACAGAATCCAACGTTACCCATTTTGGGTGAGTCCTAAATATCCCCTGGTAAATAATCCCCCCAACTTGGGACTCCAGTGTTAAAATTTAAAAACAGGTTAAAATTTTAGCTCTCTATGTATGTTTTTAAGGGTTTCAGAGCCAAAAACCGCCAGCTATGTCTTAAAGGTTTCAGAGCCAAAAACTAATCCAAAGCTTAATTCATATAATGAAAGTTAGCAGTTAGCTGCTAACTTTAGCTTCTGCTAATTTTTTTGTGGTTTATTGGTTTAGTGTTATTGAATTAAACTTTGGGGTTAGTGGATTAACGGTTATCAGAGCTAATTTTTCAGTTAGCTGTGCCCACCACTGCTGATAACTCAAAACCATTTGATTGATCTATTTCAAACCCGCATTGTATGTGTGATAAACTAAAATTGAATAAATTATGAGACCGATCGCCCCAAAATTGAAGCAGCGCCCCAGAGTTATAGCAAATAAGGGCAGATTTGACACTTGATCCCATTAAGATGACCATGTGTTTATGTATATGCGTGTATATTTTCAGTATTTGTGTAGATGTATTCAATATGCAGTATTAGCTGTCAACTGCATAGTCTGCCTTTTGGATGAAATTGCAGCCCGTATCGGTCAAGACTCTCATTGTGACCAATTATAAACTCCAAATATAGACGTACAATACCTGGGAAATGCAATTTTATAAATGTGATGTTGGTTCCAGCTGGGAAAAAATGCAGTTTTGTATGATATACAACCATCCCCAAGGTTCAAAGGTACCAGAACTATTTTACATTAAACTCCTGGCATCTTATTTTATTATAATTATTAACTGGGTTGTGTTTCTCTCCTTGTCATGCCACAGGGAGTGGGAGAACCTGTAAGTATTTATTTAAGCCTTTTCAAGACATTTGTTGACATAAACACAATTAAGGGAATGTTAGGGGTTTTCATTCTGGGGGCTGCAACTGCCTGGAAGTTCATAGAGAAATGGCAGGGAGTCCACAAGAACACATTTTAAATTGATGAAATGTTGCCATGATTATCTGGTTTACAAAGAATATTCAAGGGGGGATACTTGTTATTTATTAGTTATGTATGTGATTACATCTGCCAGTGTATCCATGCCCCTCCGACGCCCCCTAGTGGTAGTGGTCCAGCGCTCCGGCCTGTTTTCATTTATGGGTCGCTGGTTTAATCGAGGTTGGAAGCCTCTTCTGTATCTCATCACAAAGCCACAGTAATACCAGAACCCCATAATAATCTAAATCTTTCAGCTTTAGACTGAAAAACATTAGACTACAACAAAGAGTCAAGAGTTTCAAATGCTGATGTTTCAGTAAGTAGTCACATGAGCATCATTTAAAAAAAAATAATAATAATTTTCCCATTTGCTCCATTAGAAACCAGTCCAATGTGAGACGCATGCACACAGCTCTGAAGCTGAATGGAGTCATCATTAAGAAGTCCCAAGAAGCCAAACTGGTCCTCCTAAACATGCCAGGACCACCCAGAAACCGGACTGGTGATGAAAACTGTATCCTTTTCCGTAGGACTGTGATGACATTTTTCATGGCTTCCGTTTGCAAAGCAGTTACATTACAATGATCAAAGACAATGATATTCCGTATTCAGAAGGAAAAACATGCCAGCCTTAAATTTCCGATTTTTTGTAATCACGTATATATTTCCCTAAACATATATTTAGTCCTACAAAAGTCATCCCTCTGGTATTTTTTTCAAAGCAATTATTTTACTCGATTTATAAAAATGGTTTTAGCTAATTTAATTTCTTTAGCAGTGCAACTTTATACTTGAGTCTGGATTTTAGACCTTAGACTATAACTTATTCATAAAAGAATCTGTTCTTTTTATGCTGGTACCTTAACTCAAACTATCTTAGACATGGAGTTCCTAGAGGTCTTGACTGAAGGTCTCAATCGGGTCCTCCTTGTGCGTGGTGGAGGACGTGAGGTCATCACTATTTACTCCTGAGAGATCGGCCCAGCATTCCACAACCCGCCCCCTTCTCTCCTCTTCATTGCTACCTCCCCACAGACTGACCCATCGCTAGCTGACCCATTCGATAGCAATAGCCCAGACGCTAGCCCTACATCGCTGTTCGCCCCATACGATGTGACACAATTCACCTTCTTACCCAACACGTTTCTTCTCTCACCAATTTCCACCATCCACTTCCCATTTGGTCTCCTTAGATGTAACTCACCGTACAACGTCATAAGCAGCTGACGGCTGAGGTGCCACTGGCCCTGTCTCTCACTTCTCCTGTGGCTGATTAATGAGGCTTCGGCTTGCCTGTTTACCAGCTGTCTAGTCATCGCATAATACATCAGCACATATCACAGATGCCAGCCAGTCCTCTGCCATTCAGCTGCCAAATACCTACACTGTTGCTCCAGACACAGCCAGGAGGTGCGTACTTCTCTCCCCATCGCTCTACCTGCCCTGCCACTCAGACTGGTATTTGTGGAAGGGGTTCAGTGGGAGTTTGAGATCATGGGGAAAATTTCTCCCCCCAATATTTCGGTTGATTTCGGTTTGATATTAAACGAGGCATTTTCAGCAGACATTTCAGGAGCGTTGAGAAGGATTTGTGGATTAAAATGGCTTTAGGGAAGTGAAGATTCTTTGGGGAATGTCATCTGTTATGTAGTTGTCTTCCTGTAAAATGCCTGTGGTGGAGTTCAGTTACCCCAAAATGATTCGTAATTCGAAGAAAACTCGCCATAACTTCCCCTGCACTTTCCCGGTACCCCCCAGTCTCAGTTGCTGTGTGACGGGGAGCCATTGCGACCAACTGGTGCAGACAGTGAAAGAACAGGAGAGTCACTGCCATATATGAGGTTTCCTCTTTGGGAATGGCGAATCTTCCCATTGGCAGCTTATGTGCCATGGTCAACCCTACTGTCAAGAGGTTCCATGACGCAAGTCAGAGTGGACATGTCAGGTGGCACCCAAGGAGTGTCCTGCACGGTTCCGGTCCCTAAGATTCATCCTTGAACGTTACACATTAGATGGCTGCCAGATATATGCACTGACTGTGTTTTGCTTTCATTCTCGGAGCTATACCTGTACTCTAAGTGGCGCAGACCTCAACGGCCATGAAGTTGAGCACCAGTAAATGCAGTGCCAAAAATGCCTGGGAAAGGGACACACCGTCGCACAGCAAGACGGCATTCTTGCAAACCCCTGTGAAGGACAGAAGCAAGAGCAAGAAAGTGTGCAATCCTGATGTCAACATTTCTGTGAGATGCATCCACCCCTGACCCCATTTGCGGATTTCTGTAAATAGTGTACAAACTCAGATGCATAGTTAAATATCAATGTAGTATTTTTGTGACTAAGAGCTTCAAGCACATGCAGTGTTTCGAAGCGGCTTTGTTCTTCTCACTATAGTAAATGTTACGGTATCTTTGACACATCTGAATGGTTATACACTGTGCATTGAGTGATTGCTCCACTGTGCAAATGAAAATACTTCACGTGAATTAGGTGGCACATTGAACATGTCTCCTACAGAAAATCCAGCAGTGACTAATCGCACTACATTTGCAATGTGTATAAAGACACCAGCTATACAAAAATGATTTATACAAAAATTAATTCTATAAAAGTTTATAAAGTCTATATAAATATATCTTGGACTATTAGAAATTATAGATAACTGACCATTAATATATTTTTTAAGATAAACATTTATCTATTTATTTATTCATGTATTTATTTATTTATTTATTGGGAGTATATTGCCAAACATAGTCCTGTCTGTTGAGCCATATAAAAATTATTTTAATATATTTACCCTAATGATATGCAACAGATGTCAATTGGCATATCGGAATCAAATACAGAATTATGTGGTTATCCTACATATGCAGAAGCTAGGGATGTATTACCAAACATATGGAAAAGCTTTCAGTACTTGTTCAAATAACTAATAGTTTAGTTAAAAGTTATTTAAATTATAAAATCTTTGGAACAAATAGCAGTTACTATTAACAATAAATTTTCAATGAGATTTCCCAGAATGCCCATCTGGGAATATAGGAAACATGTGCTCCTATTTTAAAATGAATGTACAAGTAGTTAATATGGACACATCTCTTGTTTTATTTTTATACAAATCCTATATGAGTAGATTTCATATAATATTATTAATTTATTATTAGCGAACAATCGCAACTATGTACTCTGAAGGGAAGTATGAGGCATGGTACCCATACCTGAGTATATAAAAGAGTTTTTATGAGGAGAAATTATTTATAGAGCTGTTAAACAAGGGATTTTTATGTTTGTTTGGGTAAATCCGGTGACATGGCTAAAAATATAAACATATACAAAGAAATTGTTGTTGCAAATGCTGCTAATATAAATAATGAAATTCATATAATACATAAAGTATACATAAATAGAGAATTCTCCCAGAGCTACTTATCAATGTATGTGGTGTGTATAATTTTACCAAACCAGGTTTGATTTTGAAATATAAGAGCTTTTTCCTCAAAAGAAAATATCAAGTATTAACTTATGATGTAAAGTTAACCCATGGAGCCAGGGAGCAACTGAAGTCCCCACAAGTGAAATTATTTAAGGTGTTTTTCGTTTTTAACTGAAGCTGTGAGAATGTCCCCTTGCCACAGATCTGGAGCGATTGTTCCATGCGCTTCACATTCCTAGGTTGCATCTGAAGTTACTCCCTTCGGTTTTGCTTCAAAGCTCCTCGAAGACTGCTGTTGTTGGATTTCTGCGTTTAAACAGCTACACTGTTTGCACTCTTTGTCCATCGGCATACGCTTAACGTCGATAAACAGAAAACTGTGGTAATATTGACTCGCATGCATCTGGAGCTGTAGTTCCTTTGCCTGAAGTGGATATCTGATATCAAATTTAATGAAATTGAAAGACAACAGGAAATTTGTAGTCTGGACTAAGCTTTTCTTTCCAATTCAGGCCAATGCAAATGCAAGACACACTTTGCCAGAAACCTGTGTTTCATCTACATCAAACGTCATCACATTTTTAATGAAGTACTACCTGACGCTAAATGCTACTCACAATTATTGCTAGATTACTAGGTGGTTGGAGGGAAAAAAGACAATGAATTTGCTTAGTTAGTGTTTTACAATTCCCTTTTGCATGGTATTTGTGGCTGTGCTTGTTTCTGTGGTTCCTTTGATGTGGCAAATTTAAGTGTAAGACAGGAAAGCATGGAGAGAGAGATGCCCGCTGGGCACAGTGCCGCTGGGCACAGTGTTGCTGGCCGGTGTCCTTGTGGGGACTTAGGAAAAGTGTGATCACAGTATTGTATTCAGTCCTGTCTTATTGTTATTTACATAATGTAACAGAGATGAATGAGTATTGTAAGAAGGGGAGTGAATGCTCCTGAAATTTTCACCAGTCAGGCTTTGTATATAATGCTGCAGGATATTAGAGCTTTTTCTCACAATTTGACCTTCTTTGTTTTATTATTGTAAATGTATCCTTAGGAAGATATTTTATTGGTTTAGTGCAAGTATTTTCTTTTTTTAATTTTGCCTAGAAAGAGACGTTAACTTGCTAACTGTATTGTATGAAATATGAATATCTATCATTGTGGTTACATTAATAAACAGAAGAACTGACAGAATGTTCCTGCCGTGCTCTGAAAGATTCATGCTTTTTTAGAAATAAAAAAAATCTCCTCCGTGATGGCTGTGAGACACACCGAAAAGCACTTTATACAGGGCTTAACTTTTTGTAGATAAAGAACTATACATTTATGAAGCGGGAATAAGCAAAAAAAAAGTCCCCTTTTGTGTCTTTCATTTAAATAGCTATCTTAACCGTAATCTCCCCCTAGTGGACGCAGTGCATAATGCAGGCTGTGACCACGATGCCGAACTTCGGAAGAATACACATGTGCAATTCTTTATTAAGTGCAAAACCTATTATTTTAACTCCTGTAACAAAAGGGTGCTTGAGATGAAAGACGGGGCTTGTAATGACAGGAGTTATTTTCCATGATCACATTTCCTGTGCAAATGACAGAGACAAAAAGGCACACTTCAAAGTCATGTACTTGTAACATTACATGTCATTAGCTGTGTTGTGAACCACCTGTCACAAGCATCTCACAACCCTCCAGAAACCCACCCCTGATCTCTCTGCACTGTATTCACATGTGGTTGCAGTATAATTCTTAAATATTGATCAAAGACTATAAATGAGCGCTTCCAGAATGGGCCTGGGCTTTGCTGGAACTGTGTCTACTGACCCCACAGCCCATCCTCCCTACCGTTGTAGCACAGTAACCCCCCATCCCCAAATATCTGCAATGGGACACTATCTCAGCACTCTCTCCCTTTTATCTATGGGCGGGGGACAGACCATCAAAATTAATCGTGGTAAGGGCTGTAGTGTTACACTTGCTGCCTGATTCCGTTTGGAAAGGTAGCCAAGTCCAGGGAGATCTGGTCCACTAGATACCCACCAAGAAGCAGAGGACTCTCTGCATTCTTGCCCCCGGTCGGCCCCCTACTGCAGCTCCAGCACAGCGCCAGGCCCCTTCGTTTGTGTCACTTGATGCATGCTTCTGATTAATTAGGTGTATGTTACTCTTATTACTGTCTTTATCCACATTCTGTATTTTATTTTTCACTTGTTGATTTAGCTACAATACAGGCTTGTAATTGTGAGCTCTTTTTAAAAAATATATATATAAAAAAATTGGTCAATCAGTGGAATCGTTTATCAATATGTCAGCTACAGGCTTGTTTTTTTGTTAAATAAAACAAAATATATATATATGGAAGTAGTTTGTTTTCATTATTCAAAAGATTATATTAACTGAAGATAAACTGATTACCAAAGTATTTTTGTTATGTTTATGATTGACAGTATTGTACCTGTGTTGAAAAGTCACATATTCCAGTGGATTAAAAATATACAGGTTATTGTAGCTCAAAATCACAATCAGAAACAAAATTATTGATTGGATGGATAGTGCTTAAAAAATATTTAATTCTTATATTTCATTGTGCATGGGTTTTGCCTGGAAAACCCAATGAAAAACCTGGAGTTTTGGAAGTGTTGATAATTACAATAGAAATATACAGTTATCAATATATAAGTAAAACAAACACAAAAAAGGGAAACATAAAAATGAAAACAACTTTTGATGTCTTTTAACACTGTGAAAGAGGTTTTATCAAGTGGTACGTTGATATAAATACAAATGTGTGAAGTAAAAAGGGCCTAATATTAAAGCAGGATGTGCAGTTTTCCAGCTTGTGTCCATCTTATTTCTGCACACTATTCATTCTTGTCTACAAAATAGGTTTTTATTTACTTGATCAGCAGACAATTAAATCAAACATAGTTTAAAAACAAGCAAACATTTGAAGTGTAGAATGAAATGAGGAGTCAGCCTACATTTAAAAGACACAGAATAAAGCACTCCATGAAGAAGCTAAAATTGAATTTGGTTTTCATTTTTAATCCACTGGAAATCTGTAATATATTTTGTATGAATGTCTTAATATGGATGGATGTAGACCTAAAAAAAGAAAAAAATATATATCTTAATCACTTTGTGTTTCGGTGTTTAACATTCACACTTTTTAAGTTCTTCCCCAGATAGACGTATTACTGTAGGTATGTTATTTGTTCCTGTGTTTTCAGTTGTATGTGTATGTGTGCACCTGTAAACGCTGAAATGGTGAGGGGCTGGGGAGGGGAGGGGGGAACATGCAAATAAAAATTAAAAAAAAAAAAAAAAAAAAAAAATTAGTTGGCTTATATGTTTATTTTTTTGTGTCAGTTGTAGGTTGAATAATTTAAAGAGATAGACGTATCCTTTGTGTTCGATATATTGAGAATTAAACGCAAAGGTTTATCTTACATTTCAAATGCTTCTATATCTATGGCTTCTGGCGTTACTGTAACATTTTATAGATTTGTCAGCAGAAAATGCAATAAACTAAATAAATTTTATTACAGCTTTGCCCATGAGTTCCTCCTTTCAAATTACTTGCATACTAATACATGGCAGCTATACATACGGCATTGCAAACTCTGCAAACTGGCAGTCAAAAATTTATGACAAAATTGTTCCAGCAAAGAATTTTAATTGATTCAGTAGACACTAGATTAAGATGTCAACAAATCTCTGACCGCATAAGACTAGTTTCCTGTTTGTCGCTGAAAGATCACTTGCAGTTCCCTAAAGCAGGGGTGGGGAACCTGATCCATGAATGGCCGGTGTGGGTGCGGGTTTTTGGGATGGCCTCTCAATCAGCCAATAACAGTGGGTCGCCAGGATTGGAGTTAAGAACCACTGTTTTATTATTGGCTGATGGAGAGGCCATCCCAAAAACCTGCACCCACACCGGCCCTCCATGGAACAGGTTCCCCACCCATGGCCTAAAGGAGCATGAGGTTTTTTTTAAAATATGATTCCCAGGTTAAGAGCAGTTGTGTGCAACAGCACATCCCTTGTGTGGAAACAAACAAACCACCAAAACGTATTTTACATGTAAATTAGATAACTTTCCTTCTTCACTCTCATGCCATGCTTCCCTGGTCAATAACGTGTAAATCTAAACATTTCTTTACCACCCATCATACAGATACAAGATCCCCGACCCTGATAGTGGTGGACCAGCGACCGAAGGTCTCCTGGCCTTCTCCAAAACAATAAGAATCTTCAATGAAGAAAAACCAAGAGATTAATCAGGGACTGAAAGGCACACTGCTCATGCAAGAAGGAAAGGTGCACACACATGGAACCTGAAGACCAGAAAGAGGAATCCAGTTCCTCAGCATTTAAACACTCCACAAGTCTTTTGTTGACCTAAAAATAGATGCCATAAAGACCTGAAACAATATTGCTATTTCAGAGAAAAATCCAATGTGGCTTTCCATATTCTCAAAATGTTTTAAACTCTAAATGAAGTGCAGATATTATATTGAGGCATGTTAATAACAGAAAACACAGAAAGACCAACGTATTTATGAATAACAAGTTCCTTACAAAACGTCATATTAAAGTTAAGACAGCAGCACAAAGCAGCTGGATCTGAACCCAAAGCCAATCCTCTTTAATAACAAAGGGATGACTTGTATACTTCACTTCTCCACATAATTAAGCAGGTCTCCATTTTGGTGCAAAAATGTCTTAAAAATAAAGACAAAATAATGAGAAACCTGGAATTAGTTTATTTAAGCAACATATAGCCAAGAGTCTATATACACAATAGCAAAATGACTGTATAAAACAATTTACAGTACCGGCGATGTCCAACTCTCAAAACCGCATCTTCCAAATTCCAGGCAGTATGGACAAAGTCTACATTCAAGCATGCAATGTGGAACAACTTCCTTAAATCAACCACAACTGGTAAAATGAAATAAAGTGAGTTATAACAACTGCATTGGACTACACAAACATGACCAAAAGGTACACAAAACGCAACACCAAAATTTAGAAGGGGGGAGGGGACATCTTAATGCAGGAACAAATCCCCCCTCCCCCCCATCCCCCAAAACAGCTTGGACTTCAAACACACTTTCATATCAAAGATCTGACTATTTTACAAACTATTATCTGTAAAAACTAAAGGAGGAGTACTTTAGTAGGCTCAGTAGTGGCGTGGGTACAGGGCCAGCGTTGCCGGTTGACCGATACCTTGGGTTTGGACGTTGCCTGCATTTACTAAGTGGTTGATGGAAGGTCCACTTTGAATCAGAGTGTCCAGGGCTTTCTGCACACTTGGGTTGTCAAAGTTGATCCCAGTGCCCGCTGTGGGTGGCCTCATCGGGGTGGACATGCGGCTTGGGGGACCATACTGTGAGGGGGTAACACGCAGTGCCGGTCGAGTGCCCATCATGCCAGAGCTCTGAATGGGGGGCTGCTGTATTTTAGGAAGGGTGGAGGGCCCCAGTGCGGGGGGAAGACTGGTGGTTTGGTTAACGACAGGGCTGCCGTACGCTTGAGACTGGGAAGCCACGCTGGCGTTGGCGGCGGCGGCACCGGAGCCGCTGTTGAACAAGCTAAGGATCTTGGCCTGCAGCTCTTGCTGATGGCTGGATGGTGGAGGAGGGTTGGAGACTGAGGGTGACACCAGGTGGGTCGGGGGAACCGTGTGGACCGTATGAGCTGAATGGACTGTATGAGAAGAATGAGGGGTATGGCCTGGGGTGACAGCATGGGAAGGGTGGGCCGTATGGGAACCATGGACACTGTGAGGCCCGCTAGAAAGGGCCGGCACCGGCGGAAGGGGCGGCTCCAGTGCGGAGACTGTGGCAGGTTGGTGGGACCCTGTGGAATGAGGAAATGAATCAAAGACCAATAAATGTCTAGGTACTTAGCTGCCACCAACACTGAACGCTACAGGACAGACAGCAAAGACCCAGCTCTGGAAAAATCATGGGGATGTGGGGATAATGAAACTAAATCGAGGCTCCGATATTAGTACCTGCATGTGGATCACCGCTGCTCCTCACCAGACGGTCTCTCTTGTCCCTCAGATAGTCAATGAGTCTATCCAACTCTTCCAAAGTAAGAAACCTGTAATGTGGATGGACAGGCTTACGTCAAGTCAAGAAGAGACGGCCTGAAGCGCCCAGGCACTCCCGTCAAGCCTGCAATGTTTACTATGGCATCTAGCCGCTAACCCACCTGCTCTCCGACAACAGGGTAATGACTGGCTGAAGGGAGATGGGGTGGCCCTCGCGCTCGTGCTCCCGCATCAGCACATCGTCTGCCATCTTGGCGGCCTTGTGGGCGATCTCTTCTCGCTCCTTATCCTTGTGTTCGGCCTTGAACAGGTCATAATTGCGTGCCACAAGCACCATAGCGTCCTGCATAGGCATGTTGCGATGCTCTGCAACATCAATAAGAAGTGGCAGTGTTAGCAGGAAGTGGCAGACCACCAAAAACGGTCACTCAAACTGCTCGTTCACTTAGCCTCAAGGCAATAGCTATATACAATTATACTATTAGCGAGACCCTGATTCAGACCCAAAACAAAACAGAGAGCTCTAGGCTGTGTACTTGCCAAACCCGTACTGCTCCAATACATTGACCTTACATAATGAATCACAACAGTGAATGATTTGTTTGAAAGGTAAAGATTACTGTGAGTAATGTGCCCGATGGCTAAATACTGAGACATGACCAGAAAGGGCCTCTCCAAAGGTCTCACAAATGATCAACAATTTGACCACAAATAGGTTCTTGAACAAGAAATGAAACAAACCGAGGAGTGACTCATGTGATCAGAAGACTGAATGAGATGACAAACTGGTACTGTTACACACACGGCTCTCAAATTTTGGTTCTTTCTAGTAATGTGCACAAATGTTATTTTTCCCCCCCACTAAAAAGTAAAATGACCTAACCCTAGGATAAGGCTGGGCAATTAATCGAAAATCAATCAAAACCAACATTCAGAACCTCTAATCGATGTAATCTTGTCCTAGTCAGTTACTTCATTCTTTTGGCAGTTTTATTACCTTATATTCATGAAATAAATATACAAATGTCAATTGGATGGTAATCTCCCTGAGAAAATAAAATTTAAACATCAGTTAATGATCATTCGCTTATAGTGATTTCACCCAAAACGTGATCACTATAAACTGTTTCCAAGAAATGCAAACTATTTTCTACTTTAGGGAACTTGCTTTTTACATTAATACTAAAATGTGACCTTTTGCATAAGACATTTTCATTTCAAGCGGTTTGTGCTTTGATTTCAGTATGAAATATTAAATAACCATAAATGGTTCATCTGTCGGTGTTTCCTTCAATTGTAGAGTCACAAAAAGAATCTTTCATCAGAAATATCCCAGTTTTAGTAGTTGAGCATATTTACAGTACAAACCTTGTCAATGAAATATGAAAGCAAAAAAAAAAAAATCATCCATTAATCACAATCAAGGTAAAATGTTCAATTAATGATACTGATGAGGTCATATTACCTGGCCCTACTCTAGCATATACATTACTTTAAAATATTTAATAATAAAAAAAAAAAAAACACAACAACTATTTAAAATCGGAAAAGAACCAAGAGTAAGTAGCCAAATCAGAACAGTCATGCAATGCATAATGACGTTTTGATCAATGATGGTGGTCTCATAAGATTATACAGTAATGAAACTAAAAATTCCTATCGCCTAGTGACATCTTGGCACAACCATTACTCACGTATCTGGGGTGATGCTGGTGTAAACAAACCTACTGCACTGCCAGTCGTGTTAATATAGCACATACAGTTATGTAGAGCAGATAATACTCGACAACGACAGCTATATTACTGGATTATGCATCTGCTATACGCAACTTCTTATTGTTATTTAGGCTATACAACACAGCGTAGGAGTGTAGTAGGCTATAGCATCTAGGTTTGTGCAAGTACACTCTATGATGTTCTCACAATTATGAAATTGGATAGCAACACCTTTCTCAAAACGCTTCCCCATCATTACGCAAAGCATTAAGTGAAACACTAGCGGAGGAGGAGGGTGTACCTTGCGGGGTGCCGAACAGGATGTTGACAGTACAGGAACGGTGCACCTGGTGCTGCTGCGTGATGATGATGGCGAAGGGTGTGCGTGCCCGGCCCACATCCTCCAGGGCCTGTGTCAGCGATACCTCCGTGTTCAGGAAGATCAGGTCCACCACCATGCCCAGGTCGCGCACCTTCCGGCCCACCGTCTCCGCGTACTCCCTTCAAGGGAAGATAACAGGAAGGCGGCTCAGAGTTTCCACTGGCATTCAGAGGCCGGTGCCTCTACTCTTGGCTGCTGGAAGCAGAAGGACCCCTGTGTCTCCTGATGATCTAGCCAGTTCTGATTACGTGAAAGCAGGCGACAGAGCAAAGCGCCTAATCTGCAACCGACAAAACTTTTTACAAAACTCACAAATCACTCACTTTTGCTGCTTGTTCACCACGATCACCGAGCAATCCACGGGCCGCTCGGAGTCATAGCGTCTCTGGAGCTCCTCGTAATACTGTCTGTAGAGCTCATTCCGTCGCCGCTCCTCCATCCTTGGCCGGTCGTCTGAAAGCAGAAGGGCTGAACACTCACTGCCTGCTACCAGGTACCAACAGGTGCTAACAGACACCCAGCTTGAAGGTTGGCTCAAAGGAGAGTGCTTCTGCTTACCTTCGTGCTCCCGCCTGCCGTTCCAAGGGTCCCTGTATCTCTCCCCGTAGGGGTCCTCTTTCTTGCGATAATAATCGTCCATTCTGTAGTATCGGTCATAACCATCATCCCTAAGGCAATACAAACAGTTCATTGATGTTTCAGCAAAATGGTGCAGGTCAGGCAACTGCCCCGAGTCCCCATTACAGCTGTATGCTCACCGAAAGCCTGGATCGGCTCTGGGGTCCTTCTCCCTGCCCTCGGAGGGACGGTAGCGGTCGAAGTCCGGGTCTCGGGGCACGTGCTCTCGCGGGTGCCCAAGCCGCGGCTCCCGGCCAGGCTCCCGGCCAGGCTCACGGGCAGGCTCCCTGTGGTCACGCACATCACGGCCATGTACAGGGGAGCGAGTGCGGGCTCGAGGCTCCCGGCTCTCCCCATAGCCACCATACGGGTGCCTGCAGGGGACAAAAATTGCCATCAGTGACGGGGCCATGCCCCCTTGCTACCTCTGTGAGCTTCTGGAACAATGTCAAAATCAATTAAGACCAAAAAGTGTAAGAAACAATGCAAGCAAAGTTTTATGGAAAGTTAATGGATCAACCTGAATCAAACTGACTGTCCAAAGAAAAAAAAAAAAGAGGAAAAAAAAAAAACCTAGTACTGTTTTCTCTGAGCCATTTACAATATGCGAATGGATCGGAAATTAACACAATTTCAGCTTGCAGTTCATATCTTCCAGGAAAGCTCAGAATACCACTCCCCACGAAAGGCATCCTCAAAATTTATTGTCCAATATAGGCGGTAAGCGTTCCCTGAAGATTCTGGTCTTGTGAATTTCTTCTTTGAAATGGAAGCAGCTTTCCACATTGAAGTAGCGATGCACCGTTCCTCCCATTCAGTAACGCAGATAAAAATATCGAGTTTGAAATACTTTCAACGCTTTTGGTTCCATAGGCGAGAATGTTTGCTCAGGATGCAGAATAAATCTCCACCATCGTCCCATGCACCTTTGTAATTTAAGTATGTCAAAAGGACAGTACTGTCAATTTTTTTTCCTATAGTTTTCAATTAAAAGGTTTCATATTAAAATCCGTTGAGTGTGTCGTTAACGGCAAAATTATGTTAAGTGTGATTAATCTAAATTAATAAATATTAGCAAATACACAAATGACGGCTCAGACAAACAATGAAGGAAACATCGGTTTTGAGGCATAAACACATTTGCCACACACATTAAGAATTACACATTTTATTTCCTAATAATTTTACCAGGGTTTAAATCATGTTTATTGAGTGAATGCTAGAACTGGTTAGATACAAAGAAATCACAATTCGATGCCGACTTCAGTGGTCATTTTATGGAAGAGCTCAAAATATTAGACAAATCAATCGTAGGAGGTGTATAAACGAGGAAAGTGAAAGCAAAATAAAACCTGAGACAAAAGACAACACAGGCGTAAAACTAACTGATTTACCCATTTATTTTTGAAAATGTATCACTTGAATATGCAGCTGAAGTCCAGGTTCTTGATTCTTTTATTTTTTTTAATTTGGTAATAAAAGTTGTCATGACTCCAGAGTCGTTTATTCGTACGAAAATACAGATTACCAGAGCAGCTGAAAGGATCCGTCCTCACACCCCACAGTGACTGTACATTACATTACCTTCTTGGAGGACTCTGCCGGGAGTGAGCTTTACTCTGTCGTCGCTCCGCTGCCATATTAATATCTGAAAATAAACCAATCCAGACGTTCAACATATCATTGGAACAGAAACTCATCAGTTCAGGAGAGAATCTCAACTGGCACGATGGTTTCTACCCGCTTGCACTTTTTTTGGATCCATAAAGTGAACTTTCCCCCAAAATACTCCCCAGTTGTGTGGTTATGCACGTTTCAAGTAATAACTGGTACTGAACACTGAGAGAGATACAATTGGCTGCACAGACCTAAAACCTCATGTTTAATGATATATTTTAAATTCTTCTTTGACCTATACTAGTAAGAAATCAAACAGCTGTGGATTATCAATCTCCAACCTGATGGCAAAACAGTAGCAACAATTATTTTATGTTGTGAACTTGATATATGCAAATATCGGAATACACCAACACTCATTAAGAACTACATCACCATGAATCAATTTTTAAATGCAAACTATGCTAAGATTCCAAAGACATTTTGCCTTTGGAGATTTCTAGATGCAGAAGTCCACCTAATTCAACATCAACGGCTGGGACTTCAAGCAGTGTTCCCTCTGATTGTCAGCCCTAGAGCCATTACAGGACACAGCTATGCCACAACCAGAGCCAGTTACAGAGAAAATTGCTGAAGATTTAATTAAGGTTTTTTTTCTTCTTTTTTATTTAATCACCATTCTCTTAAATACAAGTTTCATTACTCTCAAACCGAACATCACCACCCCCCCCCCACAAAAAAAAAGGTATACCCTTAGGGAATGCAGCCACAGATTTACGATTTACAACTTTGTTACTCATTAAACAAGCTCATAAAAAAGGTCCATGGATACATCTCCAGATCCCTTTATAACAACAATTCCTTGTCCACCGATAGACACAACCTTCAATGGCCTTTAAAGACAACCTACATAAAGCAACATGCTACAGAATCCAAGATCTAGCCATTTCAATCCAAAATTTTCCAAAAGCCACCAAAATATCTGCAAGTCATAAAAGGAGACTGTTTACGAGGTGCAGTATTTACCACATGACTCTGCTTCCTTCTGCAACTAGCTGTTCAGATAGGTCTATGTCAGTGGAATCTTACCTAGTTTATACCCTCTATAAAAGCGACCGTTTTGTCCCGCCTTTGCTGCCTCCGCCTCCTCGGCTCGCTCAAACTGCACAAATCCATACCCACGGAACATGGACAGGGCTGGAAAAAGGAACATGGAGTTTTTGGGAGATTCACTGAGGATACCTGTGTGCCACAAGGACCTGCTATGACAAAATTAATGCTCAATGGCCCATGTTTAAGATGTCATGTTTTTGCTGAACTGAGAGGTCATGATATCTTAAGCCAAATATTTTGCACTCGTGTTTGTAAAAAATTAACCTTTATCCCTGCAGTTACCGCTTAATTAAAAAAAAAAAAACAAAAAAAATCATGGCAGACCAAAATAGTTTATTGAACTTGCTACCATATACGCAAGCTGTACATAAGACGTATTGGAGTGCTTGTATCAAGAAATCATGTCAAACCGGTTGCCTACAAATCTACAGACGCAATGTCAGCATTGAAAATGTTTTTATTGTACATTGAACCATGCTGACTACTAACCATTTATCTTCCCATATGGACTGAACAGATCCTCCAAGTCCTTCCTGTCCATGAGAGTTGTTGGCAAATTCCCCACAAAAATCCTCCTTTCCAGGTCGCGAGGGTCATTGCTGTTGGTGGTATGGTGGGCGGGGCTTGCACTGCGGCTCCTCCTCCGAGACATGGCGCAAATACTCGGCTCGATCTTAAAGCCTGGTTTGTTTTTTCCTCTCTTTACGTTGTGTTTAAACTGTTTTGTATGTTTACGTTTGTCAGTGTTTGTGTGTACTGTCCCAGGCCCTAAAAATATCAGTGTGTCAACAGAAAGGAAGAAAAAAGAAATCCTGTTCATAAAAATACCAACAGGGACACATCACAAAATTGTTAGACAAAGCATTCCTTTAATGGATGAAAATGGGCTGGAAAATGCAACTTCATTAGGAAATGTCTTCAGTTAAATGATTTAACCCCATCTTGGGGGGGAGGGGGTTGCTCTGTCTCAGTACGACTCAAAATCCACATCTGGATAAGGGAGTCATCAAAAAAACAGTAGCGAAAAAACCTCTCGCTTCTACCCATCTTGACTACCCATTTTGTCTCAAATAATACACAGAAACACACAACAGATATTTAGGAGCAAAGTTTGATGAACACCATTACAACATTAATCTCTTGAAGACAGATTAACAAAGAATTAAACTGCTGTTTAAAATAAGAACCTACTATGAAATTTATTGCTGAATTACAGCCATTTGAAGCAGAATAGTAGACAAAAGTCTTTAAATTAATATCTGTATACATTGCATTTATTCAAATGTTATTTAAAGTCCTATAGCTCAAAGAATAAAGCATTGCGCTGGCGACGCAAAGGTCTCGGGTTCAAATCCCTGGGAGCACACATAAATTGTAACCCCTCTCTATTGTAAATCGCTTTGGATAAAAGCGTCACATAAATGTACTGGACATAGAGTATGCAAGGCGCCTACACTTGCACTTCGGCAAGCCGGGTGTATCAATATAGACGTATGACTAACACATAGGTTTACAAGTTGGTTGATCAAGCGTGTCTGAAATCACGTCCCCACAAGCAACCAAGCGGAGACTCCGATCAGCGCTTCAGGTCGAACCGACTGAACCAGATCTACTTAGCCAAATGAAACGATCGAAAAAGAAAAACGTGTGCATGTAATTCATGGATTTTTCCTGTGCAGGACGCGTACGTCAAATTACAGAATAAAACACAGCCCGCGTTAGATAATGAATGATATCCAAGCAAAGGCAGCCAGATGAGCGCTTAAATTCGCAGCGTTCGAATGCATCTTATTTTATTCCCATGCTGAATCCTTTGTGACTTGCCAAAGGATCTTTTACTCTCCCCATTCTCTATTAGAAGAAAGTTCAACGTTGATATTTAAAGTTAGTATCAGACCCATCAAATATAGTTTAATAAGTTGACCAATGTTACAGGGGGAAATGAAACACTTTATAGGAAAATTTCGCGCAAATCTGCAAAGCCAGCTGGCAGTAACGGGGAAGATTATATCGGTCATGCCGCCATTTTCTGGAGCCAGTGAAATGATGCTCTGTGGATATAACACCGCACACGGACCGGTCCAAAGAGTTAGAAAATGCAATGGGAATGGCCCGTACCGTCAACGCGTTGATGAGCAGCTTGCAGTCGTCTCATGTGGCACGAAACGTTAAAGAAAAGCACCAAAATGTCTGTAACGCGCACCGGCGAAATCTGTTAGCTAGGTGGCTAACCAGCGCCTACTAGCCGCCATGAACACAGCCGGCTAATTAGTTAGCCGCGCTAGCTAACCTACAAAATGTCGTCGAACGACTGCACGGTTAAGCAGGCAACGTATATAACCAAAAATAAATATACGGCACCACAAATCCGTGCAGAAATGATAAACCGTAGCATAACAGCTACCGATTTATCATCCCCTAAGAGTCTTGTTGCCGTTAAAAAAAATTATTAGCAAACATTTGCTACGTGAAGTACATAGCTGCGTGACGAAAGAGATGACAGGCAACCATAGTTACTGTACAACAAATAAAATATTCCTACCTTCACCGGGACAGTATCTGCGCTGTAATAACTCCAAACTCCAGTATCTTGTAAAGTGTATTGGTATAATTGCTTCTACGCAGCTTTTAGTCCCATTCACTCTCCCCCGAATAAAAATACTACTTCTTTGGTATTTTTCCTTATTCTCGACAAAGTAAACATATCTTTGATTAGCGACACCTGCTGCTTCGGAGTGCACATTGCGCCAGAATTACCCCCCCCCCCCACACCAGCTCTGTATTTCACAAGTTGGGAAGGGAAAACCGCTGCATCAGCTGATAAGGGGGAGGGGCTTACACGCCGCAGTCTGCAGATCTCGTGCTCACAGCGACGCGGAAGTAGAGGTAGGTGTGCTAGTCATATGACTTTCCAAAAGCTATATCCATCCTGGGTTCAAGTTTTGGCTCGACTGATTTATAGGATCGATCTTAACCCTTCTTCACCGAGCAAGGTTAGTGTGGGAAGCAATGACCTTTACCGTTTGTCTGGGATATAGCCACAGCTGCTTAGTTCCTGTTTAATTAAAGCATTGTCAATTTAAAATATTTTGCTTTTGGTTGTTATAACGGCGCTGATATCTAGTGATACTAGATCTGTATGTCCTGCTGTGCTAGTAAATTGTTATTTTGGAATAATTTGCTGCTTGAGAGAAAGTAACAGAATAACTTTGCTACGAGGCAGCTGTTGCTTGATAACTTTGCACTGTCGCATCGTGTGTTTTCAGATGTGCCGCTGGGCTCTGTACTTTCTCTGGGGAATATCGGGAGTTTTCGGAGCTCCAGATGCCGACGAGATTAAATACCTTCCAGGACTGCCGAAGCAACCAAGCTTCAAACAATATTCTGGCTACCTCAATGTTTCTGGGAACAAACATCTACATTACTGGTGAAGAATAAGTTACTTTATTATTTTTTGCGCAACGTATACGATTGTGTTGATTTAAACTTTGCAGTTAGGTTCACTTTTATGCAAAAACTCTCCTATAGAATCGTCCGGCTATATTCTCTTGGGAAGATTTGGGGATAAAAACAAAGATTAATGTCAAGGTTATAACAGCAGTTATTGTTTGAAAGTTGATGTGGGAAGAGAATTATACTTCCTCTTGAAATCACATGATTCTTTTATCAGTAAGAAGTGAAACAAATGGCTTGACGTGTCTTTAGTTAAATGCTTTAATTATATTCATAACATTTCGGTCTTTGGGGTTATAATAACGATCTTGTAATAGTTGTGGGGCTGAGTGCAGCGTGTCCTGTTATCTCCTGGGGCAGGTTTGTGGAGTCGCAGGATAAACCGGCAGCCGACCCAGTGGTTTTGTGGCTGAATGGAGGACCTGGATGTAGCTCTCTGGATGGTCTTCTTACTGAACATGGGCCTTTTCTGGTATGTCACATCAGTAAAGTATGGTGTTTTATGGTTTATTGTGTTTTCAACTAGATGGAGATTCACTCTAACCTTTAAAATTTGATTTTATCTGTTGCAGATCCAGGATGATGGTGCCTCACTAATGTACAACCCATATTCCTGGAATAAGGTATTTCCCCTTTTTCTTGGATGTGCTTGTCATCGTAGAATTTGCATGAGACTGTAAACCTACAGTTATTAGTTGCTGTTAAACAGAAGAAACCAAATGAAGTGGAAAATGGTGTAAAAAGTGCAACCACATGAATCAAATAATGTTGGAAAAGTAACTTAATGAATATTTAAGTATAGTCTTAATCTGTGACACTTGAAGCTGTGATTTCAAAGACATTTTAATATGATCTGGGTCCTGTGCTTTATGGTGGTCAGCCTTGACCACAGATGTCATTTATGAAATTATATCTAAGGCTGGGCTAAATGGCAAAATATTTGATCAAGATGTATATATTTTTTCATATTGGTTAATATCAATAATTTTCAGAATATAATTCAAGGCTCAATTTTTGCTTGAAATTCCCTTGGGTTTCCTCTTAGAGATTCAGAACATAAAAAATAACCACAAATAGAATGGACTGCAAAGTGAATAAATCATGCGAAAATAAACTTTATGTTGTAGGGCATAGCGCTAGAAAAGTGTGACAGTGAGGTTTGCTGCTGGGCTTTTTAAACGACTGCCTAGCCGCTTGTTCCCAGGGACGGGTTAGACATTGCTGGTGTTTGGCTGTAAGCACCTGCCTTCTGTAAGTTATCCTGGATGGCAGTGCTTCTGGTGGTGAAATTCGTTTGTAGTATTTCTAGTTTAAATCGGCACAAAGTTTTTGCAATACACAGCACCTGGGGCAGACTGGCAACAGAAAGCATCCCAGAAATTTGCCACCAACCTGGGGTGGGTGGAAATCAACAGACTGGTTATTTAGTCGGGTACACATGCTTTATTTCATTGGTGGCCAAAGTACTGCCACATTACCAACATCTTATTACCTTATTTATCCACAATATCTCCCTTTTAAAAGGTCCTGTGGTTGCTTGGCTGTCACTTTCTTCGCTCTAACGATACGTTTCCTCTGAGGGAGCGCTCATGTGCATGTCGACACTGCCTTATGGATTCTTCTGATCTGGATGTTACAGTTTGAGGATCAGTTCTAACGTTGTTTTTTACCTGGTAAATTTGCCAGCAATTTACTGTTAAATTTACTTGTTGGCTTCCGCCCACCCCAACCCCTACCTCAGCCCCAGGAAGGGTTGGGCTGGTATTGGATCAAGAATAAAATCAGTAGCATCGCGCATCCCTAACTCGTTTTACTGCAACTGAAGCATGTGACATGCCCCTCTAACTTGATCAACCTCCGTTTGTTGGGTGTAGGACGTCCATTCTTGAGATACCATATGACTGGTTGGAATTGTGTTCATTTCTCTGATGTGATAGGCTGATGTGCGCTGTCATTCCTTATCTACAGGTTATTGAGGTTTCTTCTTTTCATATGGTTTAGATTTTATATTCCCCCCAGCCCTAATTATATCCATGTGAGGGTGGAGTTTGTATTTCAATGTTTGTCCTGTGGTGGGCTGTCCCTCAGTCCTGTCCATAAAGGATAAGCCTTTATGAATTCATGGATCTTTTTATGGTTCAGCAATAAACCAATATAGAATTTTGCTTCCATTTTCTGTCAATGGCATTGACTGCTAAGGTGATTGGATTTAACAGATTGCCAGTGTGCTGTACCTGGAATCACCAGCTGGAGTTGGGTTTTCCTACTCGGATGACAAGATATACACTACTAATGACACAGAGGTTAGTAGTAAGCCTACTCACGAGACTCAAGGTTTCCCCAATATCTGCACAATCAGAATTTTGATATGTGACGTTTGTTTTCCAGTGTTTAATAACTAGACTCTGAATTTTTTAAATCCTCAGGATCCTAAGAACATTGCTTGGTTTTGCTTCTGCATTCACAATTTATTTCTGCACCTTTTGCTTCTTAGGTATCAATGAACAACTACTTAGCCTTGAAGGAGTTTTTCCGGCTTTTCCCGGAGTACAGCAAGAACGAGTTTTTCATCACAGGGGAGAGCTATGGAGGGATCTATGTTCCCACGCTAGCAGAGCGAGTGATGGAAGATAGCAGCATAAACCTCCAGGTTTTCCCAGTTTCATTGCTATACCATCAGTGTATGACTGTTGTTTTATGTTTTTATTGACTCGTTTGAGTTTAATTGTATACATAGGAATTTGTAATTGTGGTATAGCTCCATACTAATACTGCCCTTTAAGAAATATCATGCAGAAGTACAGCTCTACAGTTCTGTGGCCACCAGCTGATAATTTGCTGACAAACTGGCATTTATTGTTTTGGAAAGCATTCAAAACACCCTAGTGGTATCTGTTTAGGGAAGACTTCATGAGGGAACTGGAATCTTACTGGGAATCTCCGACTTAAGGATTGCTTAAAATACATTATTTAAGTAATTATCTCCCAAAAATGAGCAATAAGAGTTAAGACGCTCTTTCTGAGTCAGATTTAAAATTTGTGGAGAATTTAGACTTGAACCTGTTTTTGCAAGTAGCCGTATTGATATATTGAATGTTTCTGTATTCTGATGTCCTTATTGCAACAAAAAAGACGTAACTAACTTGAGCCAGTTCTTGTCTGTGTGTATTTGACATAATTGACTCATCTTTGGGTTCCCCCTTACAGGGCATTGCGGTTGGTAACGGCCTGTCTAGTTATGAGATGAATGACAATTCTTTGGTGTACTTTGCTTACTACCATGGACTTCTTGGAAGCAAGTAAGGACACTAAGGACAAAGATTTAAGTTTATTTCAACAATTAAGTCAATTTATAAAGTTATGATGCAGAAAGCCTTTCTTGATGGTAAATCTGCACCTATAGAGCACTTTGAAATAGAATTCTGATGATGGTTTTGCAGGCTTTGGACGGATTTGCAGACGTACTGTTGCAAGGATGGGAGATGTGACTTTTATAATAACCAAAATCCCAACTGTTCTGCAAATGTGAGTATTGGAAACATAATAAGGAAATTAAAGAAATCGATTCAAATAGGGGCACCTATATAGTAATTTGGAGTTCTGCAGTGAGTTTAATTTTGTTTGCTGTCATGTGTTTGTTTACACATTTAAATTGTAGTTACTTTGTTACTCCTATTGCTAGTTATTTACATGGCTGTTTCTGACAATGATGTAGCACTCTAATTGTTGCATGTGTTTGGTCAGACGCCGAACTGCTTTTTATGGGAGTGGTATACGTTATGCACATGCAAACAACATGCAAATTAATTTTTTTTTCATATCTTTTTACTTGGTCTATTTTCCGATCTCTTTCCCTCCAGCTAAACGAGGTGCAGTATATTGTGTATGGCTCTGGCCTTAACATGTACAACCTGTATGCCCCCTGTGCCGGAGGTGTGCACCACAGAGTGAGGTAAGGCGATGAGGAAATGCTACGGGGAGTGAGGGGAGGCTGCCACACTCCCAAACTGTCATATGCTTATGGGCGAACTGGCCCAGAGTTTGTGAGGATACTGCTCTATGCAGCCCTGCATGTTACAAGAGCCAATTTATGTTGTGCAAATTGGGGGGGGAAAAACATGCAATTTACAACATTAGAATGGCTTGACTAACGGTACATTTTTGAAATACAATATCTACAGAATCATTTGCATCTGATAAAAGGACAATAACAGTAGAACAAAAATGACTATTGTTTA